CTCGCGAGACCAGCACAGCGAGCAGCGTTTTTTGCGGTGTCTTAGCCTAAATATGCTGCAAACCAGATACTCCGACCGCTCGGCTATTGATATTTGAGCAACTTATGTGGAGCATTGAGCATCACCCACCGGACAGGAGTAACAACTCCGCAGGACGACTCAGCAAAGCGACACTTCTGGCGGATAGACATATTGATCATAGCGCCGCATTATATTCAGCTGAATGAAAGAAGTACAGAGATATGTGATATGAAGATTGCAGGTAGGGTATCAATGCATGCTCAGAAAATGATACGAGAGGGTATCTGTCAACCAAATGTCTATAGCGAAGGAGAAGAAGCGATCATAGACCGTAGTCGAAATGTCGAAAGCGTCCGGTAGCACGAGGCCGCAGCTCCACTACGCGTAGAACCGGTCCACTTGCCAGCCATGCAAGCGGTAATCCTCCCAGAGCCCTTCAAACTGCTTCACCTGGCCCCACAGCCGCTTCCTGTTCATCATCGAGTCCGACTGCCAGCAGGCACGCACGAAAGCGAGGCGCTGGAAGTGCGGAGACATGACGAGCGGCTTGATGGGCGGCTCCGCCGCATTGGCAGCACGCGCTTCCACGTCGTTCGACGGCGCCAGAGAAGACGGAGCCGGAGTGGGACGATGTTCTTCCGGCATCCACGTCTGCAGAGCAGCACATGCGCGTTCATGTTCGTCTAGAAGGCCCTCGACGGGCAGGAGCCAACGTAGGCTGCCCTGGGTCATCGCTTCCTTGAGCACCTGATCCAGGAAGGCCGGCGCGGTTATGAGCGCGCGGAGGGAACGGCATGTAGCGGAAAGCGCCAAGAGGGATGGGAGGGGGAGGTCATGCAGAATGAGCAATAGGAGTTCGTTTGGTAGGTTCCCTATCCGCGGCATCGTGGAGCCCCGTGCCAGAGGGTATTCAGCGAATGTGGGAATTTGCATGGCCTTGGGAGATTCTGGCCAGCTAAGAGCGTATGGCAGAACATCAGGAACCCGTCATAACAGGGATATGTGGGAACAACTTACACATCTGGTCGCATGAACATCCATGCACGACAGTCTTGCAGGATGGCGGGGATGAGGTCCGCTCCGCGGAGGCCCGTGTTGATAGCGTGGGCCAGGTGTTTTGAGCCGCGTCGGCAAGCAATGAAATGGCTTTGCCACTGATTCAGGCTGGCCTCGATGCCATCGTAATCGATGTCCGGCAGCAGACCAGTAATCTCATCTATGTTCATTTCTGTCAGCTAATGACTCCACGTAGCAGCAGCAGTCACTTACCTCTTCGCGCTTTGCGAGAGTTGACGATCTCGTACAGCTCCGCGGCAGAAGGGGCCTGCGCGCCTTCAGAGGCGGAAGCCGGGAGAGACTGCCACTCCTCGAGGTATGCGTAACAGCGCTCGCAAAAGAAGACGTTCGGAACGCCGCCCTCGCTCCTCACTGAACATGCAGTGTAAGCGCTCTCCCAAGCTTCCTCGCCATCTTCGTGCGTAGTGAGGATCTCGCCGAAGTCACCGCCATCGCCATCCCGCACTCGCCTCACTTCGGCGTGCCGTCCTTCCGGAACCTTGCCATCACGAAGAGAAGCCTCGCCGTTTTCGTCGAAGCATCCGACAGCAACGTAGTGACCCGTAGAGTATCCGGCGTTGCCCATGCCATCCGGAAGCCATGTTGGTATGTGACCGGGCATGCGGTCCTTGTCGGAAAAGGATGAGAGGAGTGCGTCCTTGACAATGGCGAGTGTCTCTTCGTCAGCAGGGTGGACTTCTGTTGCCATCGCTTTTGCAACATCGTCTACGCCGTACTTTGAGACTAGGTGGCTGGGACCGCAGAAGACTCCGCAGAGAAGGCAAAGCTCTTCCCAGGAGCCCATATTGATGTGAGCAAGGCTCCGTATCTAGATCAAGCCTAAGTCGATGTTACCACGGGGGAGGCATAGAATCGTACCTGTGATAGTACTTGTTTGTTGAAATACATGTGGATGAGATTCAAGGGGAGGATGAAGGTTGTGCTGACCGTATGGGGCCCAAAGGATGGTGGTATATATACGGTTCACTATGCCGGCTGACTGTTTCAGAGCTGAAACCCAGTCCGCGGTGCAATTCTTGGAGGTGATCTGCAGGCGCTCTTCGAGAAACCTAAACTTTCCAGCATCAGTCCGAAAACCCTATACGGTCCTGTCGCCGAGAAGACGAGAAGAGGAAGGACGCATCGCAGAACTATTCCAGGCTGGCCTATGACAGCCGGTAACCGTGCAGTGCCGCTCGATTTTGGCGCTTGCGGACCTGGACGAGAACCGACTGCCACGAGTATTTGCAGCTTGTCCTGCACTCTGTCCATAATTGCTGCTTGTACGGTAAATGCCTCAGTAGCCGTGGTGACATGGCGGCTCTGTCAAACCGATTCCAACTGTTGTCGTCCGCTCGTTCTCTCAGTATCCTCGGCGTTGTCACGAGGACGCATGCTGTTCTGCGTGATTCGCGAGCTCCTGGAGCACAGAGCATCATCGCGTCTACAGCACAGAAGTGACGCACGGTGATTGTTTTGGTGATGCAGCATGTGGGTTCAACTGGGCGGATCCAGTGCGTTGTGGCGGGCACAGCACCACAGTTCTCCCAGTCTTGAGAAGCGCGGCGTCCGACGGGGAGCAACCCAGGCACGGGATGCTCTCCACAGCAGCAAATAGACTCACCGAAGACATAATGAGCGCATAGGCTGGCCGTCGGACGCCTAACGTCCGAACCACCAGGAGACTTGATCCTGGCGGCTGCCGATGACATAAGGGACCTGAGTGATCAATACGGTCTTATGCCATACGTCCGAGGCAGGGTGCATCGTGGGCGTTGGGCCTCAACGTCAACCTTAAAATGACCATGCATCTAGTATATTAGCGAAGTTCACCAGTGCCTCTTGAGCCCAATTGCGAATAAATAATTTATTTGTCTGACTGTCTGAGGCATGAAGGTGTACTCAGTTCTCGATGGGAGTACTACAAAGCATACAGACGCTGCAATCAATATCGCGAAGATAGATGCTCTAACAGCAGGGTCGTACTACTGTTACTTAACGGATAAACTTGTTGCTGGTATGCGTACGCAAGACGGGCTGGCTGCGAGAGCTAACTTACGGACAGTAACGCTTCAGCGCTTCAGCAGCGAGCGCCGAATTGGAGCAAACAGATAAGATAACCACGGGGATGAGATAAGATAGCCGGGCTTCCTCGTCCCCAACGAATCCCCACCCGTATACGCGCCTCGTCCTCGACATACGCGACGCCTGGTGTTGACCCATGCTCAAATTCTGACATACTGCCGAGCAAGATTAGGTCAAATCAAAGACGCGAAATCGTGGAGCAAAAATGCGCGGAAAAAGTGATGAAAGCGACATGAGGGTGGAAACGAGCGCCTAATCTCCCCAACGAAAAGTGAAAAGGATGTCACGTCAGAGGGTTATAAAATACTGACCGCGGCAGGCGACCGCCACGCCCCTTCCTTCTCGTTTCACTCTTCGTGTTTTCTGCCCGCCATGTCTTCTGTCGTTGAGACACGAAAGACATCGCCGCTGCAGAACATGACTCCGCGACAAAAAGACTCAGCGAAGGAGGAAGTCCCTGCGGACATCAACATTCCTGACAACTATGTCGCCTGGACTCTCAAAAACCAAAAGCCTCTGCCTCCGGTCACGCTTGAAAATCTCCTCGCGAACATCCAGTGGCTGAGTCTTGCCGTCCTCACCATCACGCCCTCCATCGCCATCTACGGCCTGTTCACGCATAAGCTGCGGTGGGAGACCCTCGTTTGGAGCGTCGTTTACTACTTCATCACGGGTCTTGGTGAGTCTTTCTCATTCATTTCACGCGTTCCAATAGACTGACTGGCCTCTTAGGCATTACTGCCGGTTACCACCGCCTATGGGCGCACCGGTCGTACAACGCGTCGAAGCCACTCCAGTACTTCCTCGCCATTGCCGGCACTGGTGCCGTCGAAGGTTCCATTAAGTGGTGGTGTCGCGGCCATCGTGCTCATCACCGTTACACCGATACCGACCTCGACCCCTACAACGCTCACAAGGGCTTCTGGTATTCTCACATTGGCTGGATGATTATCAGGCCACGCTACAAGCCCGGCGTTGCCGACGTCAGCGACTTGAGCAAGAGCGAGGTAGTCCGTTGGCAGCACCGCTGGTATGTCTGGCTCATCATCAGCATTGGTCTCCTCTTGCCTACCGCCGTCGCTGGACTCGGTTGGAATGATTGGAAAGGTGGCTTCTTCTACGCTGGTGCTGCCCGCCTTTGCTTTGTGCATCACGTGAGTCACTAGCATTGCAAGTACATTGCGTATGCTGACTCCTACATCTAGTCAACCTTCTGTGTTAACTCGCTTGCGCACTGGCTTGGTGAGGCTCCGTTCGATGACAAGCACACCCCCCGCGATCATTTCATCACTGCACTTGCCACCATTGGCGAGGGTTATCACAATTTCCACCACCAGTTCCCGATGGACTATCGCAACGCCATCAGGTGGTATCAGTACGACCCGACCAAGTGGTTCATCTCGGTCTGCGCAATGTTCGGGCTCGCCAGCCACTTGAAGATCTTCCCGGAAAACGAAGTTAAGAAAGGACAGTTGACTATGCAACTCAAGAAGCTGCGCCAGACCCAGGAAGGACTTGTGTGGGCTCCAAATGTAGAGGAATTGTCGGTCATCAGCTGGGAGAGCTGTACGTCATGCTCTCAAATGTTGCCGTTATGCTGATGCTGATTGCTATGTGTAGTCCAGGAGCAGGCTGCCAAACGTCCTCTCATCGTCATCGCGGGCTTTATCCACGACACTACCGACTTCCTTGACGAACACCCCGGTGGTCGCCATCTACTTGTGAAGTACATCGGCCGTGATGCTACCACCGCGTTCTTCGGCGGCGTTTACGACCACTCAAACGCCGCACATAATGTAAGCGTTGCTTATTCGTCGCCTGCCCCAGTTGTAAGTCCTTTCATCTACGTATCAGCGCACTCGAGTCTGAAATGTGCGTCAGGAACGCGTGCATCATCACATTGGCGCGGAGGCCGCCCGCCGGCCGTGTCATCAGTGTGTGACGCCCTATCCGCCACCCGGTGGCGCACAGACCGCTCACTGTTGTCGACTGGCGCACGCTCGACACGGGGCGCGGTCTCGTGCCTGTACGCCTCATCTACCCGCGCTGGCGTCACGTTGTCAACGTTGTGTGTGGTTCACGCCTCGTTTCCTGACAGCACTGGTCCGAGGGATGCACCCCACCGCAAGAGCATCGAGATCAGGGCCCTCGTATTCGACACGGATTAAAGGGCTCCTCCGGCCCTGCCCCGGCTGAGTCAGCTGAATATCGAGTATACTACAACAGCTGCAGCGTGTAATCGGTCGTCGTCCCGCCATAGGATTGATAGTCTTTTAAGTTGCACTTCTAGCTACTGCCTGGGGAACAGCTTAACACTGGTGACCGAAGCGACAAGAACAAAAAACGCAAGGACTTCCCCTTCGAAACCATTAAGTTCCCTCCCGAACGCGCCCCGCATAAGTCTACAAGACTCTCAGTGACCATGATGATATGTATAAACACAAAGTGTGTTCCGAATAGCGATCGATACGCAAAAGGCGACGGACAAAGCAAGAATAGACAAGGGGAGCTACGCTCAGCCAAGCATGCCCTCGTTATCTGAGATGGCGGTTGAGGAATTATATGGCGAATTGCCGAGCTCGTTGTACCGTGCAATGCGGAGTCGTTGCGCCGGCGGGATACTCTTGTCTTCCAAGCCGTGCTGGATACCACCATGAAGGATACCCACACGCTTCATCGAGAGCAACTGCGCTTTTGCGTCAACATTGTGCGTAGGCGATGGGCCTTCTCGGGTTTGAGCACGTCAGGCTGGAGGTGGAGGGTGCGTTCAAAGATGAGGACCCTCCTCGCGCCGACTTTCCTCTTTAGGAACGCCTCCACTTCTCTGTAGTACGCGACAACCCTTGGTCGTCGAACATTTTCTTCTCGCTCACGTGGCAGACGAGCTGAGAGCTCGAGCTCGAATTTATTGCTATGCCTGCCTGTGGGAGGGTTGTACGTATACGGGTGTTTCGTCAGACGGAAGGCCGGCGGGGGTGTAACAGTTGAGCACCGTTGGACTATCGTGAGGAGCAGGAACTGTTGCTGTGAAGTAGAGAAAAGTCGTTGCGTGGAGCTCTGCGAAGTATCACTCTCGACGAGAGACTTTATACTGCTAATTCTCCTAGAGATTTGTAAGTCGTCAAGACACCGCGCAGCAATGAGACGAGACGATTCTTGGTCACAGTACATTGAAACGTATAGCCTTAATACGCGGCGCAGGTCGGGCCCGGCGAAGCGGTGGCCGACGGGACTTCCTGAGGAGGCGACTTAGACTTGATTATGGCATGGGCAAGTACTGAGGTTGTTGAGAATGCCGGAGAATGAGGCTGGGCCAGCGTATTCATAATGTATCGTTTGTCGAGAAAAGCCATCGTACGTCGCCTTCTGTGAATTTGCTCGAGGAGAACAACATTCAACCAGCCAGCTGCGCACAGTCTGCTCGAAATGACATTCGCAGAGCCACATAATTTTCGCATAGAACCACGCCCCTCTAAATGAGGAAGTTAGCATAAGAGTGTAGAGCGCGTGCACCACAGAGACAGAAATGAGCCATTTGTGATGACCACACGAGATCGCACCCGCCGACGCCTCGGGATATAAGCATGGAGTTATCTCGATAACGTGGTACTTCCGATACCGGGTGGCAGAACAGGTAAATTCTACATTCTACCGGCGAGATCCATGAAGCACACCGTCATGCCTAGATGAGACGCATCAGTCCTGTGTCAACGCTTGTCCTTGACGGCTCTCACCTGAGCTCACACTTCCGAGCACGTCACCTACGCTTGCATCCAGATCCGCTTCATCTCCTGATGCTCCTAAATTGGCTTGCAGCTGCTGATACATCCTGTCCGGCCTTGCGGAGAACCAGAGTCTCGTCCTCGTCATCTGTAGGTTGTGTGATCCTCCGAGTCGTGAGTCAGTCAGGGGACAGAGTTTGATTGCGCGGGCATTGTCAAGGGTAACGTCTGATTTGACGGGTTGTGAGACGCGAATCTGGCTTAAAGCCACGACAACAGCATCCTTGGAATCCTATAGCAAGAATTAGTAAGAAAATCTAGGATAGATACGTTCGATGGGTGAATTTACCAGGACAGTCATAATTCTATCGTGCGCGTACCATGAAATGTAACTGATGGGCTCGTGAAAGTTGAGTCTCTGGACAATCTTGTCAGCTGCCACATCCCCGCAAAGGACACGCGGAAAGTCAGGAAGGAGGTACAAGAGGCCAAACGCCGATCCGGCCACCAAATGCTGTCCATCCGGGCTGAAACGCACTGAAACATCTTTTAAATACGCCTCTCATCTTCACCACAAAGAAACCATACCTGAGACGAAGCAAGGACTCCACTCGGCCCCCGGTCTCCACGCGTCTTCGGGGGTGAGGTTGGTTCCTGACGTATTGGGCAGAGCCACGGTGAAAGTCTCCTGTGAGCCTGCACCGGAAGGAATTGTGAAGACCTTATTCTTCCTATCCAAGACGCTACAGGTCGCGGATTTTGAAGTACCGCGGTCTTCGGACCGAACCAAACGAGGGCCGGACCGTCGGACGTCGAGTGGAGCCCTCCTGTCACTGAAGACTATCACGGAGCCCGCGGCGGGGGCGTCCTCCAATGGCACGACAACGAGCGCCCAGTCGAAAGCCACGCACAGGTGGTCTGTTGACAGATCAATATCGAGCAACACAAAGCTTGCAGGTTCAACTCTAAGCTCTTGCGTGCCGATATTCTGATGGATGATAGTATTCAGATCAAAAGACCGCACGAGAGCACCCTCTTCCAGATTGTATAGTTTGACAGTGTGCATCTCCGACGTGTCCACTACGGCGGCCAGACTTCCCTTGAATCGGTAAGTGAGGAACGGGAGACCAACAGTAGGGCGCAGGAAGCCGTGGAAGACATAGACACCGCGCTTTGCCCAGATTGTCTCGGGAGCGAACGCTGGCGTAGATTGCTGCAGCTGGGATGGCAAAACAGAGAGCGTCGATAATTCTCTGAGGGAGCTTCGGACCTTTTCATGAGGCGCGTAGTTGGCCCTCCGCCATATTTCGACCCCCTGGCGCCTGCCCCAGACAAGCATGAATCTATCAGTTAACTCTACTTTGGTCACCTGTGGATCGCAGGTCACAGGGTAAAGGAGAAAAGAGGTAGAGGGGCACACACCCCTTCGAGGCACCAGAAAAGCGTGCCATCTTCAATGTCGCGTACAGTGAGCGTTAGGGGCTCCGTAGCGGTGATAGCAAGAACAGTTTGGTCCTGCTCGTCGACTTTGAAGTATCGTACATCGTCAGAGCCGTACCACAAGTATCCGCCTTGCGTCACGGTTCCGCGGCCTGACCAATTATGATTGAGAACGACCCATCGTTCGTCTGACACTAGCTACGCAAAATCTCTGGCGGCTACTTCAGGACTCACAGAGGTCTTTCCAAGTTTTGACATCCTTCAACCACACCGGATTCTTTGCTATGAGTTCGCCTAAACCACATCCCTGGGGCACGAAATGAAGCCGGACAGCAAACTGATGATAGATGGCGTCTTCATTGTCGCAGAGAAAGCGTCGAGTATGACAGCACAGACGGTAGAGCTTCGCTATGTCAGGAAGGGTCAAATAGGACAGTATATGGAGCGTAATGTCTAGAGACAAGGATAAGAACATGGTGACGGAAGCCGAGATGTCTTCGGCGCTTCAATAATAGACCGTGCGCCTAGTGAGCTGGGCGTATGATCACGGTTGTGATCCTCCCAGTATCTTGTACAAGGATAAGATGCTCAATCTTACGAGAAGCACATGGAGAAGGTCTGTGGCGCTGAACAATCTTCATCATATCCCACACTTTACTCATAGTCTTAGATCTTCCAAGAGATCGCCGGGACCGACGACTGGCGAGCCGCTCGCCGAGAGAGCGGTGATAAAAGTGAGCTAAATAACGTTCATAGAAAGCTGTCTAACATGGATATTGCTGGAAGGTGCTGTTTCCGCGGCTATGCGGATTTCATCTCGCATAGGACACCCGCCTGAGCTCGTTCGAGGCAAGACGGGAGCCAGGAGGGAAATTGACTGGCGGCTACTGCCTTCAGATATTGATGCAGACGCAGACGTCTAACGGTCAATGGACATTGAGAGCTTTTGCATACGTGTGGGATTTAAAGTTGATACAGAATAGCGGTGCCGGCAGCGCCCGAGCGGCCTGGAAGGAAATCGGTGGCCAGCGACTTGACCATACGTTTCTTGGTGCAGTCACCGTAGAGCATCTACTGAGACGGTCAGGAACAAAACTGTGTGCGCGCGCTGCACCCGCTCTCCATGTTCGTGACCCTTACAAACATCTCGTCTCACTTCAGTCGTATACAGCTGCAGGTGTGTCTATCTTGCGAAGAGCCTCGCTCCCCCTTCCTGCGCCCATGTGGATTAGATTCTCTTCATCATCGTGCTTCGATCTGGATGCGACTGCTCTGATCCTCGTGCTGTCTGCAGAGTACATGAACGAGAACTTCGCACTATCTATCGAAGACCGGGGCGTAAACGTAAATCAGAAGGTCATAGCAGGGGGGGTGGCGCTGACAGCCGACGTCGTGCAACTCCATCAGTACCTGCGCCGGACACACAGACGGGTCGCCTTCAATCATAAAACCGGTGCTCTACAGTAACAAGATGAGTGTCATCTGGTGCGTGAGTTCGTCGCGTGAGTTCGCAGAACATCGCAGACTGACTATATTGTACTCCGCGGCAGTAATCAGCTGGAGAGGGAAGCGCCATTCGCAATAGAGGATACCGGTGCAGTTGTCTCATGTCATGGAGATGAGAGCTTCCTTCTTGAGCTCGACGTCTGGGCAGTAGTCCGCGTAGCAGCTAAAAATAGTGCTAGCGAAGGGTGCTACCGCGGTCGCAGTTGCAAGTATGGCTGCAAGGCCTCTGGTGGTAGCAGCTAGGATGATGGCCAAACGAAGGAGCATTTTAGTAGTTGTGTAGGGTACCTGCTCTCCTTCTAATGCTCCCTGGTACTTATGTGCTCATCTCTGCTATCCAGGTGAAGGTTGGAACGTACCTTGACGTGTCTATATTCGTCAACAGCTGCCACCATAGACGCGCTACGAAGCATACATGAACCGATAACACAGGCTAGTCTGTATGGTCTGTGACCAACCGCCATCGAGTACCTGCAAGTAAGAAGCCGGCCCGGGCCGCGCTCTAATCGGCCATAGTCCTGTGCCACGGACATATCAACTCCGTCGATTAATTACTTGGCTACCCATTGGCCTGTGCGTACGTTTTGTCATAGACTCCGTGGACTTCAAAAGCTGACTTTTTCCGGCGCATAAAGGGCACGATTTGGTTGACAGTTTGTCCGCAGGCGTTTGCCTCCGACTTCAGTTTTGGATCCTTGTTCCGGCCAAGTGCAGGCTGCGAATCCCCGACAGCTATATATGCTGTGCACACAATAAGTATTCAGCTCATGTGCTTCGTCTTTCCCGAGTTGTGGCGTCTTTCACTTGTTCGGATCCGGCGACCACCGCATGTGATATCTTTACGCGATCACAGTCGTGGTTTCTGGGGACGGCCTCGCAGCACTGGTTCATGTTTTGTACGAGTAGTTGCATGCTACGTTAGGCACTTGCTGACCGTTTCTCTTGGCAAACATGCCCTGCGCAGTCGCTTCTTCGTGCATCATGATGAAGGCGGGGAGAACATCGCCTTGGGTTTCATGGTATATACACAGCGGTACAGCGAACGATTCTTTCTGTTGCCATCACCTCCCACTCTCAACCAATCTTTTGTTCATTAATAACATAGTAATGAATTACACATCCGTCTTCCAAGTATTCCGTACCGTCATGTTCAGTAAGCGCAAATGATCTTCGGTGCATTCTGTTATCGCTCACGCCACTACATAGGTATCATCACAGTCGTTGATATTTCTGTTCTGAGCCTAGCAGCACGTATAATCTTGCTGTCCGTCACTAATGACTACGAAGACTTTGCCTATGCTGGACTTGCAATAGTGATATCGTCACTAACATTCACGATCCCTGTGATGTCAGCATACCATCATCTTGCGTGTTTCCGTGATGCTCATTTTGACGTAGAATATTTGTACAAGCTATTCGACCACAGGCGTTCACAATCGTTACGGAGCTGTCATGGCTGGGCAAGTCTTATCGTAACTCTCGAAACCCCTCTAGTCGACATTGACGCGTTAATCTCAGGTTTTCTCTCTCTCGCATGGGTTGCCTCAGCGGGATTCTCTGTTGGCTCTGCCGTGTGCAATTTGCATGATTCACAAGCATGGTTTAAGGAGATCTGTGTGGAGACTGGGGTACTGTCCGGCCTGTCATTTGCTCTCGTGCTTACTCGTATGTCTTCCGTTTATATCTTCCTGACAGGTCATGCTGAGCACCATCCCAGTGTTGAGTTATATCGCCGCCCTCCTGGCAGTGAACATTGTGTCTCAAATGCACTGTTCACCTGTGTGGAAGTCGAGCGTCGCCACTGCAAAGTTTAAGCTATCTGCTTCTGCTCTATACCCCGAAGATAACAGGTGTTGAAGAAATGCAAAGAATGTTCTCTATCTAATGAAGATCAGGGAGTGTTCGATGTGGTAAGCAGACAGACGTGCAGAAAGTGTTGAGGAGGCGAGCCGCCACAGCAGTGTTATGAAGATTATTAACGTTTTCTATGTGACGATAGCATTCGGTACCATGGCTCTCAGAGAACACTCATGTAAACGCACCTTGCATCGACGGGAAGCATTTGGTTAGTTGCTCGGTAGTGCCGGAATCATATGGGAACATTGATGACTGAGAAGTGACTCTGTGGCGAGAGTTAGATTTGAGGATATGCTCGTTTAGACAGGTCAGGGATATTGTGAGGCTGACGATGAACCGGTCAGAGAATCCGCACAAATAGAGGTAGGGCTCTCGAGCAAAGACCCCAGACTGACATCGAAGCCGCTGCATTCAGCCCTGAGAGGTTTTGTAGGCTCTGGAAGGGGACATGTTGTGGCGCAGGGAATGTTTAGTGTCGGCTTAGGCTTGGGAATTGGCAGGCTTCGGGGGCGAATAGAGCATTTCCGAAGCTGGGGTCCCCAGGCTCGAGAATGTCCCCCGCTGAGGCACTATAAGTCGACATGCTACGAAACAATGTCGAGTCAGCTCTGTCTATGAGAGAGAGAGTAACGATGAGCACGCGCATACCTGACTGCAATGTTTAAGCCTTGGAACACAGCCAACATCTATGCACGAGGATAACCTAGTCCCGTGATAACACACCGCGAGGTTCGAACGATGCTTGACGGGCGACCAAGAGCCTGTCAGACAAACTTAAGTAGGCCATGTGTTAGCGAGTCGATCAATGGCCTGCAAAGAACATGATATGAGCATACAGAGGTGGAAAAGTTGATGCGGAGCAAGTCACAGGTCGCATGGAAGATACAGTCAGCGCAGAGGATTGCACTGCAAGTAGCGATGGCAATGCGCGAGCAAACGGCGTCAAACCGCGGAGGCATTCGTGTGTGGCCTAAGCTACCCACAGCGGCAAACGCCTTGCGAGACATGTTTTGTATGGAGGCCAACGTACAGTACGTCTCCTCTGCGTTTCCATGTAGCCCCGAGCAGCGCTCCCGAGTCCCCGCCTATGCGTCGCGCTAGCCACTGGTCCAACTCCCATCACTGATGGCCTCTTTTCACAATAAACACGCCTTTGTGCCCCGTTTCGATGGCACTCGTCTTCGTCTATAAAACGGTTCTTGTCTTTGTTTTACATCATTATCATCATGTCCATGACCCACCGGCGTTCGCAAACAGCGCCACCAGCCCTGTCGTCTCCTTCAGATGAGCAGTGTAGGGGATGTGCAAGCTCACTTCCCGCTGACAGACAGCTACGTGGCTATTGTTCAACGCGATGCGCTCGATACAACAAGCCGCTGCCACGGGTTGCCACTGCCTATTTGGCCGAAGAGCACCCTTTGCTCTTCCAACGAGACGAACAGGCCCCCGATAAGACCATGGCAGAAATCCCTAGAGACGAATCATCGCAAGATGTCAAACGACGAAGGCGCCAAGCCCACAGTGGTTGGGCAGTGGTCAGGCGGGCGGTCTTGACGGACAAAGCACTGAGAGCCTTGCGCGGACGAGGCCACTATTTCCCACCCGGCTACGATCCAGTGGCGGACGCAAAAGACGATATCCAGCAGCATGTTGTAACAGAGGGCCTAACGCCTGACAGTTCGCCTTCCAGGCGACAGTCCGGGAGAGAATCTTCCAAGAGCAGGCTCACCGGTCCTCAATTTATGGCAGCCCCAGATGCCCCTCCTGTCCCATTCTTGCTTCCTCAAACCTTTGGCTCCCGTTCACCGGCGAACCACTCTGAACCTGATATGGCTACGGCCATGGTGAGCTTGACCCTGGGTACGTCCACAAGATCAAAGGAAACGCGTACACTTCCCTCAGCAAACTTTCGCACCCATGCCCACACGGACGAGTCGCCTAGACGAGAACGCATCGAAACGTACTCCAGCAGAATCTCGCAGGTAGCTAGACCCAACGCACGGCGTGCCTCGTCGCTGTCCGCCGCACCACCGAGCGCACAGGAGGCCACGCAGTATTCCGACGTCAGGCCGTTCACCCTTGGAGAAGACTCGCCTGTCCTGGTCCCTGGCCGCTGCACCATCGACTCCATGCTGATTGAGAAGATCCTCGCTGGCCCATCGCGCGAAACCATCGCTCGCTACAACAACGAGGTCGTCCGGAACTCGACGACCTCTCCCGTCTCCTCTGCTCTCGAAAGTTCTTCGCACATCTTCACTGCTCCGAAAAATCGGGCATCCAAGATGAAGTCTCGCACCCCGACTCGGCTTGGTGTTGAGTTCCGCGCTTCCAGATGGGAAGGCAGTGCTCCGCGGGACGTGTGGCAAAGCGTTCGGGCCCTTCGAGAGGAGAGCAGGGACGAACCGGACTGTCGAGATAAGTTATTGAATCGCGCAACATGCATGGGTGACTAGTTATATCCGTCCAAGATACAGCTGCCAGGCCTTCTTGAGCCAATCATTCGTGTTTTTATCCCTCTCTCGAGGGTCTTCCCTATCGTCATTCAGCCACAAGTCAGATCCGTAAATATAAACCATGCGCTTATCAGTCCCTAAAAATGGCCGTTCTTGCAGTGCAGCATGTTTGGCGATGTGACTCACTTTACACTGGCATGTTCCAGACAGTTCATTAGGGCCCTCCTCGGCGTTCAGCAGCCATAAATCATCAAGCTGGAGTTGGCTGAATTACTCTGCCCAACGGACGCGCAGATACAGGCTCGTGAACCGGCTTCTTGAGTCGCGGAAGGAGTAAACCCAGGGTGCGTCGAAGCACTGGCGTCGGCTGTCCGTCCCGGCTTCCGAGGCTCTACCCTGCCTACCAAATAGCCTAGCAAATTAAAGGTCTCCGTAGGGCCAATGAAGTTGGGGTGTATTCTTCGAGCCAGCGAAGAGAAAGAAGACCGCGTTTTCGATTGAACATACTTTGTGATCAGTGTGTAAGAGAGCAAGACCCAGTGCTGACGTGTACAGCATACTCTACGGCCTTTCGGCCATAAGTTGAGCATCGCTATCAAGTTAGTGGCACGCGGATGTTCAGAAGGGACGCGAGCTGATATGCGCGCCCGGCAGTACCGCGGAAGCGACGCACACGCCTAATCAGAGACCGCCTCGTGCCTCTGCGGGAACGATGGCTAGACGACGGCGAGTATGAAAGCCAGCGCACGCCCAGCCTGCCCCTCTTCTCTTTCCTCTCTCTCGCCCTCGAGGCCGCCGTGCTCCCTGCGCGTGCTACGCTTTCCACCCTCCCACCATGTCAGTCCCAGTCCCGGAATCAGTTCTCGCCCAGATCCTTTCCCAGCTTGAGAAACTTCAAGTCCAGACACAGACTTTACAAGCCAACGTAATGTGGACGTGTCTCGTGACTCTACCGCGCACTGACTCTTGTCTAGGTAGATAACCTCGTCCAGCACCAGCACGTTCACCACTTGGCCAGTCCGTCCACGTCACCTGTTAAGGCAGCGGTGTCTCTGCCTCGATCTCAGGCAGAAACCCCTCCTTCGCAAACACCGACGTCATCTCATGGAGGCCAGCAGTCGCTCCTGGCTGCGCTGTCTGCAACTACGACCAAGGCGAATGGCGAGGAGAAGAAGCTGACGGACAAGGAGAGGGAGAAGCTCCTGTACCCATCCCGGATCTTACTGACGAGTATGTAGTCCGCCACTCCTTTGCATACAGCTCCTGACGGGCCTGTAGCCTATCCTGACCAGCATGGCATCAAGCCGTATAACCTCGTCTGGGGTGCACCCGACCCCGCAACCCGTGGACCCGTCATCTGCTCTCGCCTGCCCTCGACGATCAAGCAGCGCAACGCCATCGGCGCCCACTCCGGCTCGTACTCCATCTACCGTGCCCTCGCCATCGCCATGGACACTCTCAACCCGAATCACAAGCCCGACTTTTCTAACACCGAGCCTGCTGTCTCGATCCCGCCCCAGCCGAGCTGGTCTGGCACATCCAAGATCGTCTCGTTTGACCCGTGGGGACACGTCGTGCCCCAGGTGTTCAAGAAGGAGCTCGAGGAGCTGGGCCTCGACATACGCCCCAGCATCGCCGTCACGCGTGCGCACATGAAGCTCAGCGAGATCGACGAGACTGCGCGCAAGGGCGACCTGAAGGTCGACGGCAAGGTCCTGCTCAAGAGCTATCCGCTGCACAACGAAGATGGTAGCGAGAGCACCGCCGATTCTGGGGTCGAGATCAGCATTCACAAGGCAGCCGTCGAGCCCGTCTGGTATCTTCCTGGCATCGCCGAACGCTTTGGCATGTGAGTGCCGATCCAATGTGACCGTGATCTTTACTGACTCGTTGCAGTTCTGAGGGTCTTCTGCGCCGGGCTCTCTTCGAAGACACTGGAGGAATGTACCCCGAACTCATCACTCGCCCAGACATCAAGGTTTTCCTCCCACCGATCGGTAACCTCACCGCCTACATCTGTATGTGGTTCTCGTGGCACCCTGAGCTCAGGAGCGCGCTGACATGAACGTTCAGTTGGAAACCCTGCGTTCCTCTCGGACGAGTCCAAGGAGCTGACGCTGCGCGTGCACGACGAGTGTAACGGCTCCGACGTCTTCGGTTCGGACATCTGCACCTGCAAGCCGTACCTCATATACGCCATCGAGGAGTGCATCCGTTGCGCGCAGCGGGGCGGCGTCGGCCTCGTCGTCTACTTCCGCAAGGAGGGCCGCGCGCTTGGTGAGGTCACCAAGTACCTTGTCTACAACCTCCGCAAGCGCGGCGGCGACTCCGCCGACAAGTACTTCAAGTCGACCGAGATGATCGCCGGCGTAAAGGACATGCGCTTCCAGGCGCTCATGCCCGACGTCCTCCACTGGTTCGGCATCAAGAAGATCGACAACATGGTCTCGATGAGCGACATGAAGTACAACGCCATCGTCGGCTCGGGCATCCCCATCCTCAAGCGTTACGATATCCCTGGTGAGTGCCATGAGATCTTGCAGCGACCGCCCAGCTCACGCTGTTCCCCCCGCAGATCACCTGCTGCCGCCCGACTCACGCGTCGAAATCGACGCCAAGATCGCAGCGGGCTACTTCACGAGCGGCAAGCAGCTCACCGAGGCTGATCTCGTCAAGACTGTCGGTCGCGCATGGGAGGAGACTGAGCACTAGAGCTGCATTTACTATCGCGCGTGCACCGGGATGGATTGGATTAAACTGTAGGATTCTGTGTTGACTCAAAGTGTACTAATGTAAATAGTATCGGAATGCTGGATGTTTTGTGACCTTCGTGTCATTTGTTACCTGTCGCGGTGCCTTTGTCCTACAGTCGGTTGTGCGATAGCAAGTTTCAGATTCGAAGGAGACAGTGGCGTATACGGCAGCCGCATGTAACAACATGCTTTATCTTCAGCTCGCTTGTCCCGCTTCCCCAACACGCCTGTCATAAAGCCGGTCTTCGACTCAACCTGAAGACGTTAAAGTACCACGACATGTACTCGACCAAAGCATACATGGCCATACGCCGCGGCGACTATCGTCCAGAGCTGGACGAGCTCAAAATCATGCCTTGTCCCTTCAGCATTGTCGAGCGGTTAGAGGCATTCTATGCCTCGAATTGTGAATTACGATAAGGGCTCATCCGACTGTCAATGCGCATGTAAAACACGGCATTCCAATCTATGCATTGAGAATACAATTGTTGAATACCGACCGTCGAGCCGTACATTGCTGGCGAGATGTCTACAAGAAAATCGCAGCGTACACCGTGCAAACTGTCTCACAAAATGACAGGCTGACTAGACGCACTAGCAATCTGTTTATGATCGAAAAATACTGAGTCGATGGACCAATGCTGGCGCACAAGAGAAGAGAACACACATATCACAAGTTCGTTAGCTCCAAGGGCCTGCTTGCTCGTCTTCGAACTGCACAGCCTTTTGCTTTCCTTTGCCGTCGAGCATCTCCATCATTCGACGGAGCATTTCGCCTTGACCTTCCACAACTGCTCTGAGCTCGGCGATCTGTGACGAGAGCTCCGCCCTATCCCGCTCAGATTGCCTGCGGTTCATTACTCCTAGAGGCATCATAGCTTCCGCAGCCAGCGAGTCTAGACGCACGTCCCAGGTTGAGCGGGCAGCGTTAGAATTGCGCGCCAGCGGAGAAGTTAGCGGCGTTGTGAAGTGGCTACGCTCATCTTCTTCCGCGTCTTCGGGGGTCTACGGTGAGGTGATTTACAAATAGCATTTGAAATGAGGGGCATATACTTACCTCTTTTTCCTTCATCAAGTCCCAGACAGCGCTGAACTCTCGGCCAAGCACGAAAGTGGGCAGCGCAATTAAGAGAAGACCGAATACGAGGAGTGGGACCGTAATCAATCTGCCGAGGAATGATCGAGGAGTGATCTCGCCATATCCAACAGTGGTAATCGCTAATGCCATGTTGTTGTCGGTCAGTATAATGCACGCCGGCAAGAGTGCTGAAGCTTACTGACTGACTATAACAAACCTGACGCGGCATGTTGAGGATAGCAGTATTGAAGATCAAGATATGACATACCATGCAGCAGCAGGGATAGACTAGCCTACTGTCAGTGTGGAGGTGTTCGAAGGGCGATTGCGGACTCACTGCAAATTGACTGGGGTCCCCATCTGAATTGATAAAGATGCCCAACGTGTCATCCCAAGTACCGCGTTCAGCAAAATACCTATGCTGTGATTAACAAGGTGGAAGAGGGGGCAAGTATTGTAACTCACAATAAGGTACTGAATACGACGAGTACCATGACCACGAAGAATGCGAGAGCGAGCAGAGCATGCTCGGATCTTCGGAAGGATAGATACATTACTTCTATGGTTCTTCGGGATGGAGTTAGAGTTGGCATTTTTTATGCGAACTGTTGCACCCACAGCAATATGGTATTATTATACCGGAATGGTCTGAATACACGTAACAGTCGGAAAGTTCTGAGGATGGTGAACCTGAAGAGCGTTGACTAGATGAATCAGGCAAGATTGACAATTGAGGTCTGCAGGTACACACAGTATCTTGTCTAAGAGCTATCTCAAGGTAGTACGGAAGTATACCGAGCAAGTCTATAATGCCGAAGAAAGCTGCTCAAGTTCGCACGTGAATAGAACGGCGTAAGTGAGAAGCAAAGCATACGCACAAATTGCCCATTTGGCACAACTAGACCACGTATTCGAGTGGGCTATCATACGAGCAATGTATTCCACCGTGAAGAGGACCACGAGAGTGGTCTCTAGGCCAAACCAGATGTTGCCAGAGATTGCATGGGACGAAGGAATGGTCTCGAGGACAGTGACAGCGGCCGACACGACAATTAAGGAAGTGGCTGCAAAGTGAACCACAAAGGCCGACGGCGAAGAAGTTGGATGCTCGAGGAGTAGGTACAGTTCGCGTTTCCAGCGAGGGTGGATGTCCTTTGCCCCTTCCGCTACTTCCTCGAGGGAAATGACATGGGGAACCGCTTGATCAACGCGTGGTGAAGATGCGCGGCTGCCTGAGAATCTCTGTGGAGATGATCCTCTATGAACCAAAGGTATTGAGTTGGACATAGGTCACAGATTGCAAGGTCTAGCGAAGGGCATGTGAGAGTCGTCGTGAAGCGTTTCCGAGTTATTTTGTAGCAAGTGGCGATAAGCCAAAACAGGACCACAAATATTCGAGGCGGAAATTGCTGCCGCCCAACATTGTCCCGCATTGACTTCTGGGTAGTCGTAAATCTCCTCTCTTGACGGTGTGACTGCGGGCACAGCCAACTCCATTAGCTCTCTTTCAGCCTGCCGTTACAATACGCTCTTATCCAGGCTTCGTACTGCGGTGAAGCTTCGGCGACCTGCGCTCCGCTCTTTGTGGCCTATTCATCTGATGTTGCATAATTCCTAGACCCGTCTTTCGCAGGGTTCTGGCGGCTCACTAGTCACATAAAACCCCCGGCACCGTGCCTTTCTGACCCGCATCTTTCCCCCTTTGCCCAACACTCCAGCCCACGAGATCTGGACATTCTACGTGAGCTGACCCTCGTATACCTATCCTGGCGCGAACTGTGATTGATGCGGCTTGCTCGCGCGCAAGCGAGATGACAACCAAAGAAGAAGTCGACCTGCCCTCACCAGGCATCGTTACCCGAGGCTACCAGCAGGAGTTACTGGACGAGAGCCTGCGCAGGAACATCGTCATCGCACTCGACACTGGATCAGGGAAGACCCACATCGCAATGCTCAGGATGAAGCACGAAGTGGAGCACACCTCAAACAAAGTATTGCTCTGCCCTCGCGCCGTAGCTCTCTGTCGTTGCTGAGTACACCCGCATAGGTTTCATGGTTTCTGGCGCCGACTGTGGCCCTCATCGAGCAACAGCGCGACGTCATTGCTGCAGCCATTCCCGTTTCCGTTGGCCTGATCTCAGGCGCATCTGCTCCAGACCAGTGGAAGGATGCCGATCTCTGGTTGAACATCCTCTCTCAACATCGAATCGTCGTCTCCACCCCACAAATCCTCCTAGACGCCTTGCGTCACGGCTACATCAACCTCGGCAAGCACATCTCTTTGCTCGTCTTTGATGAAGCGCATCACGCGATGTCGAAGCATCCTTACAACGAGATCATGAGAGGATTCTATCATCCGTTGCCGCCAAGGCACGGTTGCGATATTCAGGCAATCGTACGTCCTGCTATCCTCGGCCTCACGGCAAGTCCCATCTATAGTGCAAGCGACATTGCAAAGTCCTTTCGGTAAGTATCCTTCCTGTCGCCACGATCAGTTTCTTATTCTCTTCCAGCGAGATCGAAAGTAACCTAGACAGTGTCATCCGTTCGTCTCGATTCAATCGTGAAGAGCTGGCGACATTTGTCCACAGGCCAGAGTTCCGTTACATCCTGTACAACCAAAGCACATTCACGGGCGCTTTATCTTCCAGGTATCTCAACACGCTATATGCTGTCGTCGACAGCTTGGATATCGAGAGCGATCCCTACGTGATTGCACTGCGCTCTCAGTTGGCCAAGCTGCCATCTGGGAAGCAGCGCAACCGCGTGGATCAGAAGTTGTCGAAAGCACTCGACAAGCGGGATACCTTTACTCACAAAGGTCTTCGTGACTTCCTCCGCACCGCCACGGACATCTACGCTGAACTCGGTTCTTGGCCCGCTGATTGGTACATCACCAGCATCATCCAGGCTACCAACGACGAGATCGACCTACACACCGGCGTTTTAGGCTCCTGGCAAGATCACGAGAAGCACTACCTGCTCAACATCCTCTCCCGGGTTCCTGTAGAAACCCTTTCTTATGACCCAGAACATATTCGTGCCGGCATCACGCCCAAGGTCCACGAGCTGCTGAAGTGCTTGCGGAGCGAAGAAAGGCGGTCTAGAGCAGAAGATGAGCCTTTCAGCGGTATCATTTTCGTCACTCGCCGCGACGCTGTTCTCGCCTTGGCGAGGGTTATCTCCAGCCTTCCTGAAATGACAGCCGATTTCCAAATTGGTTGTCTTCTGGGCACGTCGGCTAGCTTCAAGCGCCACGCGTTCTTGGACATCTCGCGCTCGCTCCTCAAAGAGACTGCGACGCAGGTTTTGAAGGACTTCAGGACGGGCGACAAGAACCTTGTCGTATCTACCGCGGTTGCGGAGGAAGGCATCGATATTCAGGCCTGTGGCACCGTTATCCGCTTCGACCCGCCGGACAACATGGTCTCCTGGGCGCAAAGCAGAGGCAGAGCGCGACGGCGCAGGAGCACCTTCCTTGTCATGCTTGGCAGCGATTCTGCTTCCGAAAAGATTGCACTATGGCAGGAAATGGAAAAGACCATGATTAAGTTGTACACTGATACTACCCGCGGCAACGACCCTCCTCCCGAGACTGAGCTCGAGGAAGACTTAGAATTCGTAGTACCACACACTGGGTACGTTCATTCCCTGGTGCATTGACGGCGACTTGTCTTACGCTTTTACAGGGCGAAGTTGACTCTAGAGTCCTCCATCAGCCACCTGTACCACTTCTGCGCCATCCTTCCACATTCGTCTCACACGGTTCAAGGGCCCATCTTTGAACTTGATCCCCCGGAATACGACGAGGGCTGGCATTCTTTGGACCCGCGGTATGCACCGGCTCCTTACGGCGGACCCTGGGGCGCAACATGCACGCTGCCGCGTCAGGTCCCCAAGGAGGTCAAGACCGAGGACGGGGAGACGATCAAGCTCCGTAAGTTTTCGACTTCCAGGGTGTATCCAACGAAGCAGTCCGCGCGGAACCACGCAGCATTCTTTGCGTACCACCAGCTGTACCTTGCCGGGCTCCTCAACGACCACCTGCTCCCGCTCACGAGTGCGATCGACAAAGACGAGGACGGCGCGGTCAAGCTGTTGCTGCAGGACATCGAGAAGCGCGCCGGGCTTACGAAGACGTCGATCCAGTACGACCCCTGGCAGGCGACGGAAGGCGCGCAGACGTGGTGGTACAACGAAGTGGGGATCGAAGGACTCCCGCGGCTCTTCATGCTCACGCGCCAGCGCCTCGAGGCTCTGTCGGCGGACGAGTTGCCAGTGTTGTACATCCCAGGCCGAGATCCCCCAGCCACGCGCGTCGAGATCTTCTCGGTGCCCGAGGAGATGGAGGACGAAGGTGCCGTCATCGCTGCGCAGGCGTACACGCAGCGCATGTTCTCATCGACCTACGATAAGCACATGGACCCTGACAGGATGGACTTTCCCTACCTCTTTCTGCCCATGGACGAGGCTCCAGACGAGGCAGAGTGGAGGGTCCGCCGCGAGTGGATGCAGAAGCGGCTGTCTGTCGGGAAGTGCACGCGATGGGAGGGCCCCCTGCGCACCAATGCGGACGCGCTGGGTCAGCGATTTACGTATCCGGACAACCTCGCCTCTGTGCGCTCGAACCGAAAGTTCGAGAAGCCCTTGCAGTTTAAACACTGGCATCATGGCCCAATCTCCGCTGAGGAAGAAGAAGAGTTCGAGGAACGCTACTGCGAGGCACCGTCCTACCCGCTGATCGTCGCAGAGGCACCTCCACGCAGGAGGAACTTCCTCGAACCTCTCGACTCTGCTGACGCAGGCCTGTCAGATGGAAAACCCGTATTACTCCATCCCAAATACACCACAGTCGACTTGGTCTGCGCCGATGACATACAGTTCGCGCTGCTGCTGCCGTCGCTGCTCCGGTTCGCCTCCATCTCGGCCACCGTGCACGCGGTGCGCATCACCCTCTTCGCTTCGTCCCCGCGCCTGGCCTCGATCCCCTTCACGCTGCTCCGGCCGGCGCTGACCGCGCCCGTCGCGACCGATCTGGTCAGCTACCAGCGGCTGGAGACGCTCGGCGACACCGTGCTGAAGTACATCGTGAGCGTCCTCCTGCACGCCCAATACCCCCTCTGGCACGAAGGGTACCTTGCGCGACGCAAGGACCATGCCGTCAACAACAACAGGCTTGCGAAGGAGGCCCTCCGGCTCGGTCTCCAGACGTGGATCATCCGGGACCGGTTCGCGGCCAAGAAGTGGCGCCCGCGGTATATCGGGGATGCTGCGTCGGCACCGGCGAGCCCAGTGGCGGAGAATAAGAACGAGGGCGCTGCTGCGGATATCGGCAAGGGGGACGACCCTGCAGGGGACGACAACGTTGAGGCCGAGGACGTTGGCAATGCCAAGAAGGCTGGCGAGGGGAACGATAAGGAAAACGGCAAGGAGGTCGCCCAGGGCGAAACGACCAATGGGAACAAGGCCGCTGATGCAGACAAGAAGAAGAAGAAGAAAAAGAAGGCGAAGACGCAGGAGCTGTCGACCAAGATGTTGGCGGACGTCGTCGAGTCGCTGATTGGTGCGGCGTACGAACACGGCGGGTTCGACTTGGCCACCGAATGCATGCAGCTCTTCCACCTCGGCATCGACACGTGGGAGACTGTGCCAGCCTGCGTCGAGAAGTCGCTCGGCCATATCGAGGAGCTAGGCGAGCTCCCTCCGGCACTGGAGCTCGTCGAACGCATGGTCGGCTACAAGTTCTCGAAGCGCGTCCTGCTCGTGGAGGCCCTGACGCACGCGAGCTACACCGGCGTCATCGAGACGCAGTCCTACGAGCGGCTCGAGTTCATCGGCGACGCTGTGCTCGACATGATCGTCACCGACTTCCTCTACCACGTCCCGGGCAAGAACTACACGCCGGGGCACATGCACCTCCGCAAGGAGGCGCTCGTGAACTCGCACCTGCTCGCGTTCGCGTGCATGAACACGCACGTCGACGTCGACGCGTCGATGCCTGCGTGGAACGCGCAGGACGGGATCGTGCTCGACACGGCGACGCAGCGGATCCCGCTCTGCCGCTGCCTGCTGCACTCGAGCCCGCGGGTGCTGGACGACCTGAACCTGACGTACGCGCGCTGGGAGAAGCACGGCGCAGGCATCCGGCGGGCGCTCGAGCACGACGTCATCTACCCGTGGGCGGCGCTGACGAGCCTGCAGGCGCCCAAGTTCGTGAGCGACATGTTCGAGAGCGTCCTCGGCGCGATCTTCCTCGACTCGCACGGCGACCTGGGCACCGTCAGGGCGGTCCTGGCGAAGCTCGGGATCGTACACATCATGGAGCGCATCGTCGCCGACGAGGTCGACGTGTTGCACCCCGTGTCCAGGCTTGGGATCTGGGCGGCCAAGAACGAGCGGAAGTGGGAGATCAAGAGCGAGAAGATCGACGGGGACATCAGCTGCTACGTGAAGATCGACGGTGTCGAAGAGTTCAGGGCGACGGAGCCGTTTCGAGGCAGGACGTCGCAGAATGAGGTCCGCTTCGCTGCGGCGGAGGGTGCGATTCGGAAGCTGCACGTTATCGAGCAGGAGACCGCGGAAGATGTGGACGAGGTTGTCATCGAGGAGGAATGGTTTTCGTTAGGATGGGAGTGAGGCCGAGGTCGCTGCTCATGCAGACATTTTTCTTTTTCTTTTTTCTTTTCTTTTTTGGTTATTTACACTGTTTCCGCGAACATAGAGACTTTGCTGATCTGATGTTTGACGCCAACGCCACGTGGTTATCAGAGGTGATTCCGTTTTGAGCTCGGTATCGTCCGCCGTTCTGCAACACTCCTTTGTCTCCTGTCTCACAAATCGATGAAATCCAACCCACCACTACCCCGCCACCGCCGCCCACTACCACCCCGCCGCCCGACACCGCCCCGCGTCTTCCCTCTCGGCGCCGCCCAGCCATGTCTTCCCTCGGCTACGACAGCACGTCCGAAGACGAGAGCGACACCCACTCCGTCGTGTCCGGCTCCCATGATGTCCCTGGCAGCGTGAGCTCGGTGACCACGGACGACCGAGACGCCCGGTCGGCCTCCCCAGACCCCTCGGTCTTTTCCATGACCAGCACCCTGCGCGCAGACGCTTTCAGGCAGGAGTACGGACGGGGCCTCAATAACTACTCGGAAGTATACCGCCTGCCAGCGGACGCCGAAGAATTGTCGCGGCTCGGTGAGCGAGCCTCCCGCTGTGCTCTTCCGTGCGCCTGACCATGCGCGGCCGCCCAGACAATCAACATGCCATGTTTATAGAAATCATGGGGAAATATCCGCCCCCAATGGAAGACGTCCTCGCAGACACACCAGGAGAAGACAGGGCGGCCGTGGACTTGGGCTGTGGCAGCGGTAGCTGGTACGCTCAAGTTCTATACTTTTGTGTTAGTCTCTCAGACACGTCGGGCTGTAGGATCCTGGATGTCGCCCGCGACTTCCCACATTGCAGCTGCGTCGCGGTGGATCTAGTCCCGATGCAGATCCCGTAAGTTTTACCCCTATCTATGGTGCGACATGTCCTGAGTACTGAGTCCCTCCCTGCCCCCTTCCCAGGGACATGCCACCAAACTGCAGGTGCGTCTCCAGCTGCAGTGCCCCACAAGCATGTTTCCGACCCCAATCAAAAGGAGTGAAGTTGACGACATCAACCTTGGACTTCAGCACTTTCACAGCAAGTTCGACGTCGCGCACGCCCGCCTCGTCTCCTCCGGCGTAAGCCCAGTCCCCAACGTTTCACCAGACAAACGCACACGGTACTGATGAGAGCGGGGCGACCTGACCGCAGATCCGCGACTACAAAGGTCTCGTGGACCAGATCTCGCTGGTCCTGAAACCCGGCGGCCTCGTCGACCTGACCGAGTTCGACTTTCGCGTCTACGGCACCGACCGGCGGCCGATCCCCATCGATGCCGACGCGCCTGCGTTCGCGCGGTGGATGAACCTGGCGCACCGCGCGGTGCAGATGCAGGGCGGCGAGCCGGACGCGGCCAACCACCTGCACGAGTGGGTGTGCGGCCACGGCGCGTTCGAGGACGTGCACTACTGCACGTGGTGGCTCCCGACCTCGACGTGGCACACCGGGCAGGACGAGGAGGCGCGCCGCCAGAACCGCATTGGCGCGGCCATGCGCGACGACATCCTGGTAGGTGTCTTGATTTGTTTTTTTTTTTTTCCTTCTCTCTGTTACTGTCGGAGGTGCACAATGCTCAACGCGCCGTGCACAGTCCTTTTTGAAATCTGGCCGACCGCTGCTGCTGGGGAACGGCGTGCCCGAGCAGGTCCTCAATCCGTTGGAGGGCGAGGCCGAGCGCGAGCTCGTCGAGGGCTGCGTTCCGGGCTACATCCACGTCGAGAACGTGTACGCTCGGAGACGGCAATAATAACATGTTCTTGCACCTACCGTCGGCGCGTCGGTCGTGGGCCGGCGACATGTCTCGCCACAGAAGTCCTCGGCAGTGGGTGTGTCGCTCTTTCCATAAGTGCTCCTGCTCGTCGTGGCGTTGCGCCAGACTGCAGGGTCATCCGTGCTTCTCGGAGCTTGCCGGCACTGACATAATAGGAAGGTTTGATGCTACCTCTTCTGCCGTGCAGGGCTGCCGGCTCAACACAACGGTGTGAGTATGCAACCGTCATCCTCTGGAAGTGAAGCCAGGATGCGTTGGTGTCCTCTCCAATGATCACCTCATTCTCTCTCCCAGAACGTAAGTTCGTGACGGTTCTAGTTCGCCCGACAAGCTCCTCGTTTGACCCTGCGTGGGAGGCTGCAGCTCCAGCAATACCGTTCTGTCGCACGCTTATAGCTAACACACATGTGCATGCCGTCAAGTACATGCCTCGAGGCGCATGCAGCGAGGGCTGTACACAGCATGCAGCGAGGATGACACCGGCATATCCGAACGACATACTCGCAACCGCTCACTAGTCTTTTCCAGGCAACAGCCCAACTGGCAGCACAGCCCGCTCGTGTGACGGGTTATTCAGTGGCGCAGTACGGCAGAGGGCCAGCGTATTTCAATCTCGGAAATGGCACGGGCCCAAGTCGAGATGGCACGACCGTCGGCCCTATCTGATGGTAGGTAATCGTGCGTGGGCACTAATCACCGTCCGCTAATGTGCATGTGTAATCGCACCAGTTTGCCGAAGCCTAGTTCTCTCTCGGCGGCGGGGAAGCCTCTGTGCACCTTTCGCGACATGCCGGAGCCGCTGTGTGGGGGGCTCGGGCCATAGGCGCAGGGCAAAGAATATCGAGACATTGGCAAGTCGTCGAGTCGTTCAGCTAGCGACTAATCGGAACCTAAGATCTCGGAAGCGAAATCCATGCACTCGAGCATTCGTGCTTCACGTCATCCCGTGCTTATTGCGCAGCGGTCAATCCTGACCAAGTGACTGTGTATGATCGGTTCGTTCCGAAACGCCCTTAATTGCGGCATCAGGCATATTCACCATTTGAGATAGGATATATATCCAGGCTTCAAGGGCCGTAATAGGGTCGACTAGAACGTACAGACGTGTGTTTTAACACACGCTTTCGCTTCGCGAAGCACGACTCGGCGACCACCAAACAGCGCAGCTGCCATGTCCGGACGAAAGCTAGCTCACTAGCGTGAAGGGGACTTCCGAAGGGTGGTTTTCATGTTGACGCTATCGGCGCGTGCGCAAAAAAAAAAAAAAGCAAGCAACAGGAGATTGGCAGTAGCTCCCGGTGGCGGTATCTTGGCAGTCACCGATCTATTATATACAAATTGATAGGCTAGCTCAATTCTATCGGACTTGCTCTAGTTGCGGGATAATCCGGACTGCTCGTCTGACGCTCACAATAATATTCCAGCAGCCCCACTTTGAGTGCTGCCTTCTACCAGATGTCGTGGTTAGTTTTTGTCGAGATGCGCCATGTCCTACCGTGCGCGATGGATCAAATTCAGATAGACTCGGGATATGCTTTCGCGGCAAAGGCCGGCAGTTGGAAATATGCTCTCGTCTTCCTCGTCATGCCCCGCACCCGTAGGACTGGGCCGCCAAAATCGTAGAAGGCTGTACGTCTATCCCCGGCTCACACGCACCATCTCCTGCATGCTCGGAAGGGGCCTCGCAGTCCCAGCCGAGTGGCCGAATGAGCCCACGGGGCGCGCCTGTGCCTGTAGTAAGCCCCGGCAACGATGTGGGTGAACCTGCCGCTCCGAGAGAGATCCTGCTGAGCCTATTTAGGGTTTTCCGGGCCGTGGTGCGCGCTCGGACATGTTGTGAGACAGCGAGCGAGCGGCGTCCATCTGCTGCGTCAACGTTCATGTAGGTTCGTGTGCGGTCACTCGCGCGCGCCGCGTTCATCTCCAGCACACCCCGCGACCTTCGGTGCGCTCACAGGCAGGATCCCAGGAAGGGAACCTTACGTTCCCGAGGCACCGCACAGGCGCGGCCGCCGGGAATGCAAGGGGGTGGTCATCGCTTCTTCCGAAGGTCCTGCATCAAGACCCACATAGTTGTCCGGCTTGCGCCACGCACACCCGCGCGCAGGACGACCACGCCCCGGGTCCCCCTCCCCAAGCGAGCGGCACTGGGTGCGGCTGCATTTCCTGCATGCCCTCATATTTACCCGCGGGGGCTGGGCTGCTGTCCCGCTGCCATCTGCTACCGCTGCTACCGCTGCTGCTGCTGCTGCTGCGCTGCATTCCAACACTCCAACACTCACGCATGACGACCTCCACTGCCGCTTCAGCTTCAGCTGCCGCCGCTCCTGCTCCCGCGCACAAGCCGCTCCAGGGCAAGATCGCCGTCATCACCGGCTCGTCGCGGTCCATCGGGGCCTCCATCGCGCAGCGGCTCGCCGCGGACGGCGCGGACGTCATCGTCAACTACCACCGGCTCGCCGTCGAGGCCGAGCGCACCGCGTACGGCATCAACGCGAAGGGGGGCGGGCGCGCGCACGTCGTGAAGGCGGACGTGTCGACGGTCGCGGGCGGGCGGCACCTGCTCGCGGAGTGCAGGCGGCTCGCCGGCGCCCCGCCGGACATCCTCGTCCTCAACGCGAGCCTCATGGGCCACCGGCCGCTCGCGGACACAGACGAGGCCGAGTTCGACGCGCACATCAACACGAACGTCAAGGGCCCGCTCTTCCTCGTCCAGAGCGCCGCGCAGGACATGAAGCCCGGCACGTCGTCTCTCTCTCCCCGCGCGCGCGCGTTCCTGCGTTTTTCAATCAAGCAGTCCTGCTGACCCGCGACGCGCTTTCCTTTCCAGGCAGCCGGATCATCTTCGTGTCGACCGCGCTGACGCGCGCGTCGAGCGTGCAGCCGATGGCGCTCCTGTACGCGTCCTCGAAGGGCGCCGTCGAGCAGCTCGTGCGGGTGCTCGCACAGGACCTCGGCGCGCGGGGCATGACGGTGAACGCGATCGCGCCCGGGGCGGTCGACACGCCGCTCTTCCGGGCGGGCAAGCCGCCGCACCTGATCCGCTGGGTGGCGAGCCTGCACCCGCAGAACCGGATCCCGCACCCGGACGAGATAAGCCCCCTGGTGGCGTTCCTCGCCCACGCCGACGCCGGCTGGATCAACGGCCAGACGATCGCCGTCAACGGGGTGCGTGTCGCTCCCGACGTCGCGCTCTTGTACTCACTCACACCCCGGTCCGCTCCAGGCGTTCGTCGTCTAGGCCCCCACGCCCCGGCCATCTATCTTGTGCTCAGGGCCCCGGACCATTCGATCGCGCGCTGCATATACCCCGTCATGTCCATCCTCTCCACGCACGGACAATCATCTGCACACATCTGTATTCCACGTTGGCCCACAACGTTGTAGTAACAAAGAAAGAGGAGCTACCCCGCTGCGGCGGGGTCATAATAAATCCGCCTCACCCACCGCCGCCTCCGAGTCATGCCGCTAGACTGTTTCCAGACGTCCCTGGGCGCAGAGCTGGGGTGCATCCACACGTCGTCCGTGTAGACCCACCCGTCTTCCAGGTGGCGACACTAAGCATTGTAACGCAGCAGGCACACAGCGAGCGCGGGACCCACCTTGGTCTGCGTGTTCGCACCCTATCCAGGACGCCTCCAAGTCCGGCCGCCAGTCTTCTGTCTCGACGAACAGCCACCCGGGCGACAGCGAGAACGTCAGGTTGCTGCTGGAACAAAGGGCAGGCACGAGAGAGAGAGAGAGAGAGAGAGAGATTCAGTCGTGGCGTCGAACCCGAATAAAATAGGGTGGCGGACGAACCTGACGTCCCCGCTCCCGTCGTCGGACACACCGCTCCAGCCGTCCCTGCCCCGGGTCCACGCCTTTCGCTCGCCCGGCCGCAGGTTGGCTTTGCTCCAGCCAGCGTCCCCCGTGCCGCCGTCGTCCGTCCCCGACACGCCAGCCCACCTCTCGTTCTCCCAAAGCTCCACCTCCCTCAGCTCGGAACGCCAGTGCTTGTCTTCCAGGCGGTCGTTGTCCACCAGCCGCGTGAGGCGGACGTGGAGGGTGGCCAAGTGTCCTGCTGTCATTTCAAAGATTATGGGGTATAATGTGTACATCGTGAAGGGGTGCGTGAGTGCGAAAGGTGTGAGCCCCAGGACGAGGAACGTTGTCCGCAGAGGGATTAAAGCTACCATAGGTACAGAGACGACGAGCGTAGCCACGGTCAAGCTGAATATGACGGGTGTGTACGGAGAAGAGTGATTGAGATGGGGGACGATGGGGTACACTTGGTCGTGTGCGTCCGAGCTGCGGGACATGAGTGGTCTCAACCAACGGCGGAGGCACGCGAACTTACAATGCACCCATCAGATTTTGAATCGCCTGCACGTTTGCGAGCCAATCCATACTCCAATCCGAGACCTGGGCTGGTGGTGGGGGCGGTACTTTTGCAGGCTGAGAGCTGGCGGCGACGTCTCCTCCGTTTCGCAGACATGAGTGGGAGCCAAGCAGGACACCAAGAACGGCAACCACGGGCAACAGCAAAGCGAGCCTCGGATAGTAGCCTGACAATACGGTTCAGCGGATCTGCGGCGAAACGGCAGTTGGTGCAGAGGGCGTACAGAGAAACGCATACGCGCACATCCACACCGCCGTGTACTTCCAGCCCCTCCTCCACATCACGATCTCCTCCAGGCGGTCCTGCAGCCAGAACACGGGCCCCACTTTCGCCACGAAGCGCCGGAAGTTCGCGGTGGTGATGGGGATCGAGAGCGGGTCGCGTGTGGAGAGCAGCTTCGGCGTGCCCTTCGTCGCACGGGGCGCACTCGGGGCGTTGGCCGGGAGCTGGAACGTCGACGAGAGGAGGGCCTGCTGCAGGCTGAAGCCAGACTTGGCGGTGGCGGCGGCGGTGGGCGACTGCGCGGAGGCGGGCGTGGACGGTGTCCCGCGCGGGGTGCTTTCCGGGTGGGGGAGAGAGGTGACGACTTTGACGGCGGGACGGAGGTCGGATGTGCCTTGAGAGGCGCAGGACTGGAGGCGCGTAGCCGACGCAGGGATCTCGACGTAGTCTATCGTCGCCATAGTCGTGCTGAGCGTTGAGCACGACCGTGTCAGTCCGTCTTGGGGTGCTGAATGTCACCGGGTGATTGCCTACTCTCTACGTTGCGGGGATAAACGACGGATGATCAACGTGAGCTCGGACTTGGCTGTGAAATCACATGTCAGGTATTCCCCATCAGTGCGTTTCCCAATATGGCACAGTCTCAGGTTCGTCGCCTCCGCGACTCGCGCGTCGCTATGAAGCCCTCCGCGCACAGCACACTCCTCCAACAGCTCAACCAGCTCTTTCACGACCTGCAAATACCCATCTCCATTGAATCCCCATGGGAGCTGACACCTTCGCTCATACTGGCCGCTCTAGAGTCCATCCTGCGAAAGCGTCTCCCGGTCCCGCAAGCCCTTCGCCAATCTCGCGATCTCGAGGCAAAGGCGAAAATGATGGAAATATTTCTCGAGCGTACTGCTGACCATACCGAGGATGGGCTCAGTTGGCACGACGTGGATCCGCAGCGTCTCGCCCTGGGCGAATGGGACGAGGTCGTGTACGTCGGCGAGGTCTTGTGCTGGCTGGGCAGGAGCCGCGGGTACCTAGCGGACAGCATCGTAAGACGACCGTTATGGCGCAGGAATGACGCCTCAGGGACCTTCGACTTTGGAGGCCTCAGCCTGGCTGAGAGTCCCCGTTACGATTTGAATCTCCCGTCGTCGTTGTCGCCTTCTCGGTCTCTCCGTTCCATGCCGACAAGCCGCGTCGAAAAGCCGGACTTGCTCCCCGATTCTGTCGTACAGAAACCAAGGTCAACAGCTGCTTTGTCCGTGGTGTCTCAAGTACATCCTCGCCGATCAGGTGACAGCCCCTCCAGCCACAGGGCACGCATCGACGCCGGCTCGCCCTCGGTCACGTCTCTCAGCTCCAGACCCCATACCCCGCGCTGCATCCACGAAGTTGAGAAGCCAGGCTCCTCGCATAGACCAGCGACCATTTCACAGGTGGACCACGCTGGCCTGGGCGCGGAAGCCGGTTCGCCAATCTGGTCCGAGTGTCCTTCGGGCATCTTCCATCCGCTCGGAAGGAATTCAGCTCGCCGCACAGACTGGATAGAACCCATCGACATAGGAGAAGAGCTCCTCACGTTTGAAACCGCCCGTCGACCCAACGCCGCGTCTCCCCCTCCAGCGGCCCCGCTTTCTGCACAGCTATCCTCTGCGAAGACGCCGCCGGTCGCCGGTGTCCCTCGACGGATCACCACGAGACATAACTCTCCGACGCAGCATACTCTCGCTCTCCTCAACGAACGCGTGAAGCTGACGCAGGTACTCGCTCGCTTGAAGATGCCTGTGGCACGTTGAAACCCACCAGAACCTCCAACCTTTTGGGCTTTCATGAGGTGACTAGACTGTGGGACCTGATGGGAAGATACCGAAGGATAGCTAGATGGAAACGGACGTTTGTCATAAGTTTGAATAGACGATATACAGGTGACGGCCTCTGCGAACGGGCAAAACGACAAGATAAGCGAGGAGCAGTTGAAGACTCATACAAAGGGCTAAACTCGATAACACCTATTCTCAATCCCAGGCACTTGTGCTAGCGCTCAAAAATCATATCTTGCGCCCGGGATCGGCGCCACCTTCACCACCAGCGGCTTCCTCGCGCCACCTGAAGCGTCGAGGAGCAGGCCCTGCGACACAGCTGCGGTAGCGACCTGCTTGTATGCCCTTAACTTCTTTCCATAGATCCCTAGATTGCTTTGCTGGAAGTGTTTCTGGATTGTGCTGACGTCGACGGGCTTTTTCTGCTTGGAGTAGCTTGCGAGCACGACGCGGACGAGGGGTGCAAAGCGCTGGTGGCTGCCTTTGAACGTGATAGCCGTCACGGCTGCAGCACTTGCTACCGTAAGAGCAGAATACGACGTGGTGCCTGTGGGACGGATAGTTAGCGTCTTTCCAGCGCGACTGGAGCTCAGAATCCCACTTGGACCTGCAGACGATCCTGAGGGCAGCTTCTTAGTCGACGAAGCCTTCTGCGGCAGCGTTATCCATTGTTTACCGCCCTTTGACTTTGTCACGAGCTGTCCCGCCTTTTTTGCTGCACACAATGCCGCAGCAACGTCGGCCTCGCTCAAAACTGGCTGGTTGTTGGCGAAGTACTTGCGGATATTCTTGATGGACAATTTCGGTGCGCCGTGGTTCACGCGACCTTTCACGTAGTCGACTACAGACGATACCTGAATTCCAATCGACGCCTCGTTGGTATCCCGAGACTCGAAGTCTTTGCCGAGTAAAGTTATTCAAAACATCAAAAAAATTGCGTATACTAAACGCACCCGAGGAATTTGGCGGGGAAGACAGCACAGACCCATTGGCCTCGTTGGGTCGCAGAATCCGGTTGTTCTGTCTTCGAAAGAATCCTTCGTTTTCCGCCTGCTGAAGGACAGTTTCAATGTCCGCATCGTTAAGGGCTTCAAAATTCTTGCGAATGTCATCGAGAGAAAGCGATGCCGCATCGTTGCGGCTGAACTGGCTGACGACATAGTTCACGACACGGAAAGCCAGTTTGATTGACGTAACCCCTTCGGCCTCGTTCTTCTCCCGTGCCATAACTGCCGCACCTTCGGCAACGGTGCTCTTTTCAGGTTCCCCGGTGGCGGGAGGCGCGCGGACAGAGACGCGGCCGAGACGAGTAGCTTCTTCGTCGGGGACGGCAAGAATGGCATGTCCACCATCACGGGTGATGCGCTGGCGAGACTTGACATGCAAGTATCCCTGGCCGATGTGCGCTACCGTGGCGCCGAGGACTTGGTCTCGAGCTCCCGGCTTGTGAGCAGCGTCAAGCTCGGACGGACTCCCCACATTGCGCGCCCCAAGACCGCGAGGCGCAAACAGAAGCGCTTCTCCGGCCTCCAGGGACACAATCTGCGTCGACCACGGTGTCACTTCTCATTTCGCCGCAGGATACGAGTGACCGTACCTTGGACAGCAGCTCCCCCGAAACCCCTTTGCCTGACGACACATGCTGCGACAGGTGGTGCATCCACGCCGGAGACGAAAACTGATGGGCAATGACAAAAGAGCTCAGGTCTAAGAACTTTGTGGGGACTACGGTGGGCTCCTGAGTGGAGATAATCACTCGGGTGGCCAGGTGCCTCTGCTGTCGTACCACGGTGAGCACGGAGTCAGTAAGACGGCCTGAGCTGCCAGCTTTCGTCTCGGATAGATACTGGAAGAGATGAGTCAGTACACTGCTCAATGATCAATTGTGGCATGGTCATACTTTGTGAGCCTCGTCGAGGACTGCACGAAGTCATTAGAACTGTCGAGGGAGTGGTTGAGCCGAGAGACTGACCTACAAGCTTGCCGGCGCCTTCAATCTCAGCGTCGACAAAGAGGCTAAGTACCAGGTCGAATATCCCGCACGCCGACTCGCCATCCATAAACGGAGAGGACAAACTGTCGTAGTGCATTAGAATACATTGGCATGTATAGATATGTAGGTGCATACTCGACAATCGTCAACTGTCCCTTTTTGAAATGAGACGAGACACTCTTCACGGTTTCGCCACCCTTAAAGCAGGAGTCTAGAAGCATGAGACGGAGGTTCAGCATCGTACGTTGGTCGGGCTTGAGATTTAGTTCGTCCAATTTCTGGCGAAAGACCTGATAGTTGAAATCATGCTCCATGGTACGAAGAGTCGTCATGATAGCTTCCATGTAGATCGGCAGCTCTATAAACAGTGCAAGATTAACATGATAACTAAACGGCGACAGCTTGTATACATACGAGAGTTCTCATTTAGTCTCATCATAGTGAGGAGACGTTCCCCGCTAATATTCTCCGGGGAGAAATGCAAAGGCTCGACTTGTACATTGAGCAAACCGGAATAGACTTTTCTCATTGCCTGCAGGTTCGGCGGTCTGTCGCAAGTTATTAGCCACAAGAAATTCTTGTCATAAAACTTGCTTACAAAACGAGGACAGTGACGTTAGGCGGTTTGGCATGACCACCACGGTGAGCATCCAACATCGCGAGATATGCTGCCTCACAGGGTTGCACTATACCGCTACCTGATGCACTATCCAAGTAGAACCTAGATTGAATTGACCGTAATCAATGGCGAGATTGGGACGAATTAATTAATTCAGACCTATACTCACACCAACGCACTAAGGGGTGCTGGAAGCGCCCCAATTCTCGAGTCCTGGATTAAGCATCCTTCAAGAAGGACAGCCGTAGAATGGCTTTTGCCCGACCCCTGTCTAACTGTTAGCTTCGAAAGACGAGAGTGGGCCGCCGCTCACCTGAACTCCGCATACTAGCGCATTGAAAGGCGTGTTAGTGTTGACATACAGCATGGGATTGGCTGGATGGCTGCGGAACTCGGCAGCGCATTGCGAAACAATGTGTCCATAGAGGGCTCGTTGGGGATACCTCTCGGGACCCAAAATTTCAAGAGCATCCCCAGTGAGCACTGGGGTCGTTCTCGACACCTCAGGGGACGGTTCTGTCTTCCCAGGCTGCAGCAAATCTTGACCTGGAATAACGAACGATTTACACTGGGAATTTTCTCCCGGGGCATACATCGTCCTTCAAGCCGAGCCGGCCTACCGTGTGTTAAGCAAATGAAAGGTCAGGCCCATGCTCTACTTCACCTCGATACGGAACTATCAATACTGTTCTAGACAACCAAAAGATCAGAATATTGATCGGCTTCAGTGCCCAAGCTGGTGCTGAATGCAAGTTAAGCACTGCCTCTCTACTTGAGACGGCATCTCCTATCGATATCAGCAACTGGTATCCAGTTATGATACTGTATGGCGGGCCACTGATTCACAGCAAATTTGCGCAAGGGTAGCGCGCGCGCACACACATAGGTCGCTGGATCGAAACCGGCAGGTGCCATACATTTTTCCCCCAAGAGCTCTCTACCCGAGGCGTCAAGCACTGCTAAGGCTCCAACTGTTTAGTTTACGTGTAAACTTTTTTTGTAAACACACAGTAAATGGTTGTAAACATTTATAAATAGTTTATAAACAGTAAACAAACAGTTATTAAAGGGATCTAACCCACTCTAGTGGATTGCGCCAGATTAGCCTCTGAGAAACCTGTGTGAGCCTACTGCTCTACTTGAGTCTGAAAAGAGAGGTATAAATGTCAGTGCTTGAGCAACGCAAGGTGCTTGCTTGATGCACGAGAGGAAAGCGAGGCCGCAGCTTCCTACTTACAATATTGATGTCCCAAACACTAGGCCCGACTCGGACATGTATAGATAGTGCACCTACTCATGCGTATAGGGAAGGAGCAATGCGTGCATCACATCCTGAGCACGGACCGGCCATCAGGCAGCATCTGAACACTCCGTACCTCAAGCATCGTGCTATGGTCATCTCTATGGCCCGCTGGTGTCCCCTATGCATAGTATGCAGATTGCGGGCACACAAATAGTCTTAATTGGCCAGTGGAGGTTGCAGGAGGACAAACACTGGCAATCACAAGCTGCGGGAGTGGTATTGCCAGGCAGCACTGTACTGTGAGGGTAAGACCTACGAAGGTATCTGTGGGGCTTGTAAGAAGCTTGCAGTTCCGCCTTTAGAAGGTTGGCATATCCTATCATTGACCTCGTTGTTGAGAAGTGGGCCTATAACCTATGCAAGTGTTAGCCTGGCACTTCGGGGGTGACACGACATACTCTCACGCTAGGACTTTGAGAGCTGGCCTAGAGAAGACTGCCGCATGGGTGCAGACCTCTGATAGCCCTTTTTTAGAGTCAATCTGCCTTAGTATCACATGTGGTACTGTCATCGCTCAATGAGGTTGAACTAATATTAATATTGTTTCTCTTGAATGAAGTATGGGCTCACGACATTCCCGCATACCGCACTCTCGCAGGCAGGCTGCCAGTGCCCACAGTAGACTATATGTAGAGGAGCAGTCAATGTATACACATTATATTATATTCATAATGCTTGCCTTCAGACTGTGCTCAATACAAGTTAGGATCATGACTACCATTACTCCCAGTAAGTCTCAGGGCATAGGCACTTGATACAGTGCACCGGGCTTGGGGGTTCAAAGAGGCCGCCCGAGGACGATGCACAGGCGGTGCAATGCACTCTTCAGCCCAATAAAGGTCAAGTCTGTTAGCAAGACTATGAATGTACAACACTAAGACCTTTTACAAACAACAAGAGGAAACTGTATGTTTACTGTGTATAAACGTTTACACCAAGTTTACATGACTTCGTTTACACACACGGAAACGGTAAACAGTAATAAATGTTTATACACAGTAAACAAACAAAACGGTTGGAGCCTTAAGCACTGCCAAGCAGAAACGGCCTTAGCTGCGACCAGTTGGACTGTTGTAGCGTCTTTAGCTTCTTCCCGCCAAGTGCCGGGTCACTTTGCGGGAATTACTTTTGGATAACGCTGACATCGACGGGCTTCTTCTGCTTTGAGACTAGCTGTAGTGAATAACAATCCAGAATAACGAAGGACTGGTTGTTCAGAGACGAATCTCTCAGAGTGCGCATCGTTGTGGAGGAATTTTGATGTGCGGACCGATGGTCAATATCCACGGGGCTGCGCGCGCCGCGTGTTGGTGGCGGTAGCCGCGTCTCGTTTATAAGAACTTGAACTCGGCTCCCACTTACCACTCGTCTCGTGCCCACCGCGAGAATAACTAAAAGACTCGGGTTTTGGAGGTGCAGGTATTTAGGGAAAGGGGGGCTTGTCAAATATTCCGCGGGGATGGGTCTTGTAAGTACAAATGCACCTCCCTGCGGTGCCCATGCTCTCGACTAGGGGAGCCGAGTGTGTGGAACAAACTGCGAAGATTGCGGTATAGACGTCCGTTGGAGTTCAAGCTCAAGCGTCAAGGTGATTGAAAGACGAGCACGAGATTGGGAGTGTGTTCGTCGTTTGTAGTGAACAAAAAGGCCGTGACAGCTTCCCGTCGGGTTTCCCTTCCGGCGGGCAATGGCTCGGCGCAGTCACCAACAATAACGCTTCCCGTCCGCATGCGCGAACTTGCCGCCCACGTCCCGCCGTCCAAGATACTTTCCGATTATTGGCGTCGGTCGTACAACGAGTGCAAAAAGAAGGAGAAGAGGTGACAGAAAGAAATGGGCAGCGACAGCAATAATAGAAGAAAGAACGCGCGGCAGAAGATGTGCTGTGAATGTTAACAGAGCGCGTGAGAAATTAAAATGCCGTGATCCGCCCTGTTGCTTTTGTTACAGTACTTATCTGAAAGAGCTTCTTATGGCAACCGTGTTGGCAAGCGTCGTGCTGGACCAAGTGCTAGGGCTGTATGAGATGTTGTGGTCAGAGGAAAAGAGACATCTCGCTAAGTAGAATTCTTATATACTACCAAAGAAATTGATATCTCAACGCATCGGTGTCCGCTGTCGAACGAAGTTCATACAGCTTTCGATAGGCGAATTCTTCACATCACCATGCTGTTTTTTTCAGCCTCCGAGTCAACCGCATTCCGCGAGTCTGGAGAGTGATAAATTTGTTGAAGCGCCTAGTGGCTCTGGCTCGGCGTTCCGCCCAGCATGGACTTAAGGTGGACATCTTAGATTAGGCGCTGCTAATACGTAGATAGTGATTGGACAATCATATGTAGTGCTCCCACGCACGGACCTCTTTATGGCAGGCTTCCCCATTCTAGCGGACTTTCAATTTTGCTTCCTTTTAGTATATAAGGACTCCTCTCGCATCCACACTCTGCGTGCTCTTTCCCTTCGCACTCAGAGTAAGTCCCCTTCGTCGCCCTTGCGCATTATGTAGTATGCTCACCGGACCCCTGTCTAGCTAACACCGTGTGTATTAGGTACATAGCTATACAGCGTGCTCTTTCCCTTCGCACTCAGACTAACACCGTGTGTATTAGATCGTGCCCGCGTGCCACTCGCCAGTTCGCGCTCGCGCAGCCCAGTCGTCGTATCACGACAATAAAATTGACGATAGGAGATATGTGGTCAGTTCACGAGATATGGAGCCGATGAAAAGACCACCATTACATTGATCTCGAGGATGGTCGCTGAGGATACTGAAGGCCGAAACCCGGTGGCTCTGCCTTTGTGGCGTTCGGCAATAAGCGAGCGAACCTAACCTCGGCTCGCCACTAATCTCATGCTGAAACTCTGACTCTACTCGGACTGTCTCGCCGTCAGCCCAAACCATGGACCATAACCATGGACCATAACATGTCGACGGGGGGCAATGCTGTGCCAGATTTTGAACATGCTATGGTGAACAACGAGCGTTCGGTTGAGATGGGTTCATCACAGGGCCTTAAGCGCTAACGGGATGCAACACGTATCAGCTAGTTGCTGGTACTCGAGGCTGCAGAGCCCACTTTGCGGTATGCCAACTTGAAACGCCTGGCAGAGCATGTAAGAGAGAGCCTAGTGATGAGAGCTATTAGGTATTGGCTCGCCGTAGCAAACAGTCTGAAATATTGTGGCCAGTACTAAGTGTGTCGGGTCAGCCACGCCGGGATGGCCGCCGAAGTCAAGTGCTGTGCGAACTGAACTCAGAATCCCGAACGTGTACTTGGACGTCAGAGAGATGAATTGGCTGCTTCGCCGGACTGGCTCGCGGATGTCAACTATGTGGGAGAGGAATTGTCTTGGCAGAATAGAGGCACTAACCCTGAGTCCGTAGCAACAAGAGGAAGGTAGCTTACTCATCTTGATTTTAATAAATGTTAGTGTATGTTGTCCATGACCTAAGCTTTGACGCTGGCTTGAATATTGAGCTGTGGTGGCCATATGCGAAGGATAACGAATAAGCGCACCTGCGGCATGGTACAATCCATCGTAAAGGAAGAATTAAGTGATACAGATGCCGGAAGATGAGCATGAATGTTGACAGATCATCACTCATGCAGAAGTGCCTGCGTTCGTGTCAATCGCCAGAAAGAACAACGACACCTCACAGCTCCGTGGAGTTGAGAGGAATGAAGGCAGTAATAGCGCCCCTTGGAACATGATGTCGACAGCAACAAGCTAGCGTTCTCTGGCGGGACATCGACCACGCTGTAAGTCAGGACAGCTGTACTACTATGCGAGTCTTGCACTCTACCAATATAGACTAGTCGTTACACAGGTCGTTCAATCATTCTGAGGCCTTACAAACGATGAGATTACGCTTGAAGTAGGAAGAATCAAGAGTAGATACTACGCACAAGAATGCTTCGAGATGAGTAACAGTCTTGGGGGCAGCGTTGGAAATGAAACTAGTCCGCGTGGCTTGCGCCGTGATGTTACGCTCCAGCGACCGCATCCTCTTGGAGAGGAGCTTTCTTCACCCCCTAAGCCCACTATACGCGCGGTCAGATTCCGGAAGCCGGTCGAAGAGCAAGTCCTCCGACACAAGAGGGCTACACCCTTGCAGGACAAGCAGGATAGGGGCTTCAGCGACACGCAGATAGATCCGGCGCGCCCCGACTGGCCGTGTTGCATACCAGTGTCTCATGACGGACGTTGGTGTATGGCACAGGCTTTGCCGACAAGCCAGTAATGATCCTAAGCCATCTAGTGATACAGTTGCAAAAACCCGATGGTTATGTATGGAGTGGGCAGTGGTACAGACTAGGTTTATTCACGTCGTTCAGCTGCGCAAGAGAAGTCGCACCCACCAAGCGTGCTCACCACATTGCTCACCTCTAGGCCCTGTTTAGGAGGCCGGGAGTGAGGTGTAACTTCTTGTCATACTTAGTCGGACGTTGAATGTTAATATGCTCTCATCATTTGGAGATATGAGCTCGCCGTGTCTGAGGACGTGGTCATGATCCGCTCGAACGGTGTCATCTCCAGACCAGAGTTGTATAAGCTGCTAAGGTTCGTCAGTCTACTAGTAGAACAGATGTCCTTACTATGCTCCCGATTGATAACATGAGACGAGTGGCTGGGTACACGAGAGACTACCGCCACAGTTCTTCGGTCAATTCAGGGGATGAGGTATCGGCGTCGCAGTGTGGAGTTTCTGCTCCACGTAGCTGTGTTGAGAGCCCTGCATGCGAATGGCTGTGTGCCACACTCAAGGCTGGGTAACCAAAAACGTGTACGACTGTCCATTCTGCCGTGATACTCCCGAGCACCACAAAGTCATCCGGGCAGCTGGGGATCTGCCGCCTGCAACCAGCCTGTTCCGGAAGGCTGTATAAAGGCCTTGGTCTTTGGTTTCATCCTCCAACCTCTGCATTCCACCCTTTGTCTCGCGTCCAAGACTGACTGCTTTCACGATGATGATGACTTCATTCATGACCCCCCTCATCGTCTTCCTTTGCACTCTGCTCACAGTGGTGTCTGCTGTACCGCTCGTGAAGCGAGATGTCTTTGTGCCTCCTGTTACCTTCCCTTCCAGTGGCGACGTCTTGAGAATCGGCCAGAAGTACATGGTCACTTGGTGCGCTCCGTCTGCAGAGGCTACCAAGGTTGAGGGTGCTTACCGCTTTGCTCAGGAATGCCTCCAATCCCCCGGCGGAGCTCACCAACCCGACGGGCATGATTATTCTTGCCAAAGGCGGCATGCTTCTGGACTTCAGTGAGTACCTAACAGCGGATATAGTCGCTCGGTGCTCACCACAACACGACACGCGGTTGACGCACCAGGTGACCCGCTTGCGGAGGACTTCAACATTCTTAACGAGCAGCAGGAGATTACCGTCCCAGACGTAGCTCCAGGCGGCAATTACTCTTTCATTCGTGAGTACCATATCCATGCTCCCTCACAACAGCCTCATATCTTGTTCCAGTCTTCGGTGACTCTGGCAATACCGGCCCCACTTTCACCATCACACACTAACGACCAGTCGATGACCACTTACATCTGTCGAGCTAAAGAATCAATTGGACCTCAGACGTGTCGGACATGCTTTCACATACTGCGCTCTCTTCTCACCTCGTCTCCTGCACCAACCGCTTCGATGTAATGTTGTACAACTTTGGACTTTCGTGCTCTTTGGAACTATGAGTTTTCGCGCTCCTTGGGCTTGTAGTACGGACACAGTAGTATTAGTTTGTGATATAAAACGAGAACTCCGAGATTTGGTGTTCCAAGGCGACTCTGGTTTGGGCTGGCGACCTGGAAGGCAAGATGGTCAACCAGACATTCAGAAGCAGCGCAAGCGAGGAAGAATCTCAGCAAAGAAAGAATGGTCTTCTTGTCCTGCTTGTCTAGAGCAGGTCGGACTCATTAAATCAGGTTTGGAATAGAAATCATCGATGGCGCAAGATTAAAAGCGCTATGACAATAGAGCAGCGACACTCACTTCATCTAGAAGCAATGGACTAGACGATGCACGGCGTTGTGAACGTACGAAGATAATATCGGGTGGGAGGTCAGGCCTGTCAGAGGGAACGGAGAGCGGAGAACGGGAAGAAAAACCTGCGCGCGTCGGCCACATTAAGAGGGAGATCATTTTCCCACACTTAGATTACTATGCCCATTCACAGCAATTTATGAACGTGCAGGTATGTACAGCGGATACGATTCAAAATTGCGAGCAAATAAGGTAGTCTCCGAAGAGGAGGTCCTTGCAAGGGAGAAAGCGTGCTGGCTAGCTGATTGATCAAGCGATGGACTCAGCAGAGCCTGCCGCACAGCCAGCGATCAGTGAAGGATGCCAGAGCAGAGCATGTACATAGCATACAGTGCACCCCACTATCCTGGCCAACAGCATATCGCTGCCGTGTGCTGACGTGGCCTTGCTCTCGTCCTTGCGCGGGCGCACGACCGGGTTTGCAGGTCCGCGCAGGATCCCGTGATGCGCGAGGTAGTGTAGAACGAACCTCAAAATCGGACGACAGGCCATTTCCTCGCGACGAGCTCCCGGTCGGCTATGCCTTCCAGCTCCGCCTCATGTAATTGTATGATTAGGAGCAGTTGTAAGTAAAATGTCTACAGCCCAAGGGTCGTGCCAAGTTACCCGGCAAGCCGCTGAGTATGTTCTAAAAGCTCCCGATGATAGCCTCGGTCAGATGGCGGCCCAACTAGAAGGCATGCGCAAAAATTAGGAGTACGCCGGAAACCCGCTCGTAGAGGTGCAGCTTGGTCTACACGTCAGCTCCCCGTGAAACCGTGCGGGACTGATACCGCGGCACTGGTATGTACCTTGGAGCGCACTCATGCTGAGCCTCTCGATCGGTGAGCTGGTTATCACGTCGAATAGTCGCGAGGCGGGAGCGAGGCGTGTTGCAGAGGGGGAGGTTGGTGCCGAAGGTGTCGGCGCCCGCTAGCAGAAGCTCGGCCAATTCCAGATGGACTCGGACATCGCCGCAGCGAACTTGCCTTCGAATGTAGACGAGAGAATGATCGGGAAGAGCTTGAGAGCGACGGGGAACAGGGTTTTCTGGAGGGAACGTTGACGAACGCCGCACATGGTATGAGGCGGAGCAAGCCCCGGGTGGTGCCTTTCAACTGTGCGCCACGGTATCGCGGGACTCGAGCGCATAGAACAAGTGACGCACCTGTATTGCTTTCTCCTTATCAAGGTCTCGCCATGCAGCTTCCATTGCAACCTGGCCGAACTCCTAACCTCGCTCACCAGGAGCTTTGTGCTATGCCTGGCGTCATGCGGAGGAAGGCTCTGGGGCTTGGACGTAGAGAACGTCTAAGGAGCGTGTGATGCGACGCCGATGACGTGCCAACCCCCGTGAGCACACGTCGCACTGTGGTCGTAGTCGTGGAGGCAGGAGGTGTGCTTAACTCCCCACTATCCGTGAGCCCTGCATGAAATCAGTGACTTAGTAGATGCGTCGCGCTTTGTGGCAAAGCCCGGGCCCTGGAGATACGCTGGGCATCAACCTACGCAAAGAAAAGGTCTCCAATCACAACACCATGAGTAGTATGGGGGCTCGGTCAAGCACGAGTGCATGAAATGGGATGGTAAGCCCCACAATCTCTTGCCATATAGGGACGTCACGTGAAGTCACCGCCATCACCGCCATCAGCCCTTGTCACGTGATACCTCAACCAGTAAGCTCGGTTTTTACCCTGAACGCCTGCGACTCTTGATATCCATGGCTTCTTCAAAGTACGGCGGCGTGGTATGCATGGTCCTGAAAATCTACGAAAAAGACATGCAAGATCCGGGTCCTGCATTTATCCTTGTGTCCCATTTATTGCAGATGTTCATCCACTCTGGAGTCTTGATGTGTATCATACTATGGTTCATGTCTGTCTAGAACCCGGTGTCTCACCAAACACGGTGTTGTGAATAGACCTATGTGGCAGCTATCACCCTTGAAGATCCTAACACTGCTTTTATGAAGAACTTGAAGACAATTCTTCTCCTCCTGGCTTGGATGGACACTCTGAAAATGCCACCTATGATCCTTACAGTACTTGAAGTACATGCCAATGTCTACAATGGCTCGGTTGTGTTTGATGAAGATACAGAAGTCAGTATGCCCCTAGATCAGGTGTGCTCATGCTTTGATAACAGCTGTAACTATTTGTCTCTGACTTCTATTATAGATTCTCAGCATATATCTCACCACTCCCATGATTAAGCAGATGCAAAGCATCAATAATCAGGGCTATACTGTGGGGATGCTAGCAATAACATGTGGGGGCATCTGGAAAACCAAGGAAGGTTGGGCATCCATAGAGTGAGTCATGCATCAGTAAGTCATCCTATAATGTCTACAGCCTTTGCAATAATGTGGCTCATTTCTATGTGTAGGAAGATGTTCAGCTGGATTCTTGGTTTTCTCAGTGACAGCGTGGCGGCTCGGGATGTGATATCATGCATCGAATCATGGATTGGTCTGATTATGGACCACAACAAATGCCCAATACAGAGTTTGTGGCCCCAGGTAGAAAAGTGCTTCCTATGGTCATTTTGGAGGTCGCGCCTGTTGCTCTGGCAGCGGGGGATTCGCGCGGTTGGTCTGCCGGGACTGCAGTATGTTCTGATCTGCCTTACAACCCATGGGGCCAACTTTTTTGATGCGGAAAGTGTCAATCTATTGCCCATGGGTCATTCGACAACCACACTTACAGCAAGCTCAGCCTCAAGTGTTATGGATGCCAAGCACAGTGCTCTATGCCAGCACCCGCCTGGTTATATCCGTCAAGGCTTGATACTATATTCTGGCACGAATTTCCACTTGGCCCAGAAGAGAAGGCTTACTTTTCGAAGTGGAGGTGGACTCGCGATCGGAACATAGCTAAAAAGCAAAAAGCAAACGCAGACTAATGGCTTTGAGGTTGTTAGGTAGGAGGAGCCTGGAGGGTGGTTCAAAGTGGCATTATGTGTAACAATACTTCATTTGCAATGCAGGGACCAGCACCTCAAAAGAAAGATAGACATAAAGGTGAAACGCGCGCATGAGGAGGAGCAGCCGGTTGTGGACGCGCCCCGGACTCGGACTCGGACGACTTGTGACCTAATGCCCGGTATGAAACCACTGCTGCCGTCAGGCTGCGGCGCAGGCGACAGCTTGTGTAGGAACGAGCAATTACTGACTGGCCTGGTTGTGGCGGGTACCAACCGAACGGGTTCTGGTCTCCCAATCAAGTACATAATGCACTATGGCTTCAGCTTCAAGTCTTGAACGCGAGTTGGACAACGTACGACGACGTAGCATCGGCTTGTGGACTGGGTGTACGTTACCTTACCTCACCGTCCGATTCTCGAGGCCTGAGCTGGTAGCTTTGCCGTCATAATGCTGCAAGCAGCGCAATAGGGCCTCCCTGCTTCACCAGAGCTCAACTTGAAGCTTCAAGGTCTGAGCTAGAGTTACTGCGTATAGCCGGATGCCGAACACTACTCACGGAACTTGCCGCGATTTGGCCACCAGTGACAAAGCAGGCGCATCCGCAGTCTTGGTCTCAACCCGCCACCGCTCACAACGCGCGCAGCAGGACAGCACATGCATGCCAACTCTTTACAAGTCTCCTAGCGGCCAGAAACACTACAGCCTCCGGTATCCTAGCTAAAGTACCGATCTCCAGCGTGCCCGCGGTTCCGCAGCACTAACCTCCCGAGTGGACCAGTTGCACGAGTTGGCTCGAGCTTCGCACAATCAGCGCTCATCAGAAACGAAGGGACCTATCACGAGCATAACCATAACTTGCCTGAGACCGCTGACAGGGCCCGGGGCGTCGTGGTGGTCAGGCTAGAGGTCGCCCTCGCCGCCACGAACTCTACATCTCTCGGGTGCTTGGGCGTTCACTGCCGCGCAGAAATTCTCATACAGTCGTCGAGATGCTTCACTGACATTGCAGTCTATCTGCGATTCGAGTCGTTCGACTCGGACCGAGCGTCCTCGGAGTTCGCTCTGACTCGTCCAGACCCGATAGCGCTTGGCCTTATGATAGACGCGCAGACGCTGCGGTACCGTCAAAGTCTAAGGCACCGCAGTTCGCAGTCATTGACGCGACAACTAGGCGCAGCCAAGCCTTAGCTATGCTCGTGAGTCAGATTCTCCTGTCAACTGCGCCTCTCTAGTGACCATTGCGATGCTAAGGTTCGTACCCTTGCCCTAAACCCACGTTTCAGGGCGATGGGCAATATCGGGTCCAGGGCTATATAGACTGGAATGGATGGACGGGAAAGTCCCACTCACAATCAGTCGAATCGCCCACTCGAGCAACATTTCAGCACAAGCTACTACCGCTACTACACAGCCCACTATCACCGTAAAGATGCCATTCTTCAGCCGCAAGTCTGACTTCTCCGCGTCTACCACTACGCTCACCTCCGTCACATCGACGTCGAGCAGCTCGTCGGCTACCACGCTGAAGCCGTCGCGTCCCGAGAAGGACTACTTTACCGCGTCCGGCATGCTCCAGAGCGCATACGGTTTCGGCGGTGCCGCTCCAACTTTGCCTACGATGCACAAGTCCTTCAAGTCGACCAAGTCAAAGTCGACTAGCGAGCAGATAGCCGCTGCCACGACGAGCAACCGCGCTCAGGGCAAGGGGAAGGACTACGAGGCTGCATACGGCGCTTTGAGCTCCACATACGGCTTCGGTGGTGCTGCGTTCGCGCCCACTCCTTCGAAATAAACGCCTTACCAAAGCCACAAGAACTCGTAATTAGGTACGCTTCCTTGGGGTAGGTCCACCAGACGGAATGTTGACACTGCTCTTCAGGCAAACGTTGCGGCCGCACTTGGTTATACTCGGCTATTCGCGACACATACTGCGATAGACACGCGTATGTCAATCGCTTTGGGGAAGCCGCCTTGCGCGGTTAGCTTGCGGTATTACGCGCCCCCAGCCGCTGCGACTTATCAGTGCAGCGGACACCGTTTCTACCCCGGATGGAAGGAGTTAGGTGTTCGGAGAGTGCGAAATGAAGCTGTAGAAGGTTTCCATTTCACGATATGCGCTTCTTGATTCTCATCCACCATCCTCACGGCCCCAGGTTTGCCTGCATCCTTGGGCTATCCCAGATCCTCCCTCCCCATGTCTGGGGCGGTGATAACTACTCTTTCTCGTGCATCTCCTTTCCGTTCTACGTTCACACTTTCCATCCTATTTCTCTTTCTAAATAACGAGAGCGTTCGAATATCAAACAAATTCTCAGCCTATACCTGCGTGAATTTAAGAAAGGTTCTCTATTATCTGGAAGCCTGCACTATTGACTTTTCGAGGATTCAGGCGCTAAATAAATGACACGCGATCACATGCTGTGGCGAAATTCCCACGGTTGGGTTCGCCTGCGCTACCCGACACAGGTTGGACGTTGGACCCTTCTCTGATACCCTTCCGTTTTCCCTTCTGTTTATCTTACTAAAAATACCCTAATGTCTGTACCACCAACTCCGAGCAAGATCGCGAGACCGGTGTCCTTCACACCCAAGCTCTCTTCTGCGGCAAGCCGCGATGACCTAGGACGCGTGCCGCCGCCTCGTGCCACCACCCCGAACGCGTTGCCGTCCGCCAGGAAATACAAGGTATCGCTTTCTGCAGAGGCAAGGCCTAGGGCCACATCCTTGAGGCCAGGCTCGCCGAAGAAGCTCGCCTCAGATGGCCCACCGTCCAGGCCACCGTCCCGGCCACCATCCAGGCCGAAGACTCCAACTACTCCCAAGCGAGGTGCACCAAGTCCTGCTCCGACAACTGTGGGCGAGATGGACGTAAGCAGGATCGACCCGGAAGAGGCACTTGTAGACTTTGAGAAGGTAGACGCGGGAGATGTTTCCTTGGACTTAGACGGCGAATCTCTCAGAGACTACGGGCGAGAGGACAAGGTGCTGGTCTCCATCAGGTATGCACGTGTACGCTTTGAGCTCGCTTTGAGTCTCGACGCTTCGCCAGGATCAAGCCGACCGATGCGCCCAATGCATGGGATGCGAAGAACAGTGCCATCAAGCTTGATCCACAATGCGGAAAGGGTCCCCAGGAGTTCCATTTCGACGAGATCCTGACGGGTTCAGAGAACCGGCCTGTATACAATGCTGTTGCACGCAGTCATGTATGCGCCGCTATGGATGGCTACGATGCCGTAATCTTTGCCTATGGTCAGACGGCCAGTGGTAAGACCTTCACACTGGTAGGCCTTCTAGTCTAGTGGCCATGCAAAAGTCTGACGCTTTGGCCTCAAGTCTGGCGACGAAGAACAGCCTGGCATCACACCCCGCGCCATGAAGGACATCTTCGCTTACATCAGGCGCACGCCGACACGAGAATACCTCCTGCGTTGCTCGTACCTCGAGATCTACAATGAAACTATCCACGACCTCCTCGCACCGCCCTCTATGAGCGCTGCGCAACCTGTGCAGATCCACGGCACAGGTCCCGATATCGTATTAACGCCGCTCCGCGAAGAAGTTGTTACGAGTCTCAAGGGTTTCAAAGAGGTGCTTGAGCGCGGCGAGGGCAACCGCCGAACGGCTAGTACGGACTGGAACGAGCGCAGCAGCCGTAGCCATAGCGTCTTCCGCGTTGTCATCGAGAGCCGCGGACGTGGGCCCCGCGACGAAGACGGCACGTCGAGCGGACGGCAGACCCCCGGGTACCGCCCGCCTACTCCGGGCGGAGCACGGCTGCAGGCACGCGGCGGACGCAGTGTACAAACTTCTGTGCTCAGTTTGATAGACCTTGCGGGTTCAGAGAAGGCTACGTCGGATAAGGAGCGGACGCGGGAGGGAAAGTATATCAACACGAGGTGGGTGGCGAGCCGAAGTCGGGTTAATAGGAGCTAATGCGATAGTGTTCAGTCTGCTTACCCTCGGTACGGTCATCGGAACTCTTGCGGAGAATGCCTCGAGGGGCAAGAAGTTGGTCGGCCTCGTTGCGTCTTGAGTTTGAATGCTGACCTCGCGTGCCAGCGATCATGTACCGTTCCGAAACTCCAAGTTGACTCGCATGCTGCAGCCGTCTCTTTCGGGCAATGCACGAATATCGGTCATATGTACCATCAACCCGAGTAAAGAAGCCATTACCGAGTCTACCAGCACCCTGCTCTTCGCACAGCGCATCAAACGAGTCCAGGTAAGACGCCACGGAATACAGAGCTGCCTGCGTGTGATACTCAATTCCTGCCATAGCTCCATGCACAGAAGAAGGAAGTTATTGACACCGAAGCTCTGCTGGAGCGATACCGGAAGGAGATCGAAGAGCTTAAGCGGCGCCTCGCAGAACGCGAGGCCGACTCGCCAAACAAGAACCGACGTCTGTCTGCGCGAGAGGCAAGCGTCGATATTCGTTTCTCGGTATATTCACGAAGCTAACGCAATGCATGCAGCAACTGGAAGAGTCGAAGGCGATGCACGACCTCAACGCGCGTATTCGTCAGTTGACGAAGTTGATCCTGACGAGCCAAACTGTAGATGCCGACCCGTCGCGACCCACCAGTCCCGCTAAGGTCAACTTCGATATGACGCCGTATCAGGTAGGCCCGGACCACCTATTCGTGCATGTTGATAGTGACACATCAGCACGTAGCTCCAACAAGAGCTTCTCGCCGCCCGTCGGCAGATTGACTCACAAGCGACCCAAATTCTCTCGCTGGAAGAAGCTTTGCTAGCTCGCCCACTGCTACCGCTAGACGCGCCAGAGAACGAAAAGGACAAGCTACTCACGGGACAGGCGAAGACGATCCGCGAGCTCGAGATCGTCGTCAAGGGCTACGAGGACAATCTCGGCGAGCCGCTACGCAAGGTCAAAGAAGATGTCGAGCACGAGTGGGCCGACAAGCTCGCGCAAGAGGTTAAGATTAGAGAAGAGAAGGAAGCCTGGGCGAACGAGCTGGTGAGGCAGCTCGAGAAAGAGCGCAAGGTAGGTGCCCCCTACCACTGCAGACAACGTGAAAAGTAACAGCAATGACCGTCGCAGGTTCGCATGAAGCTCGAGGAGGAACGACAGGCGCTTGCAGCATTTGTGAAGAAATTCGACTCGCTTGGCTTGGGCGACCTCTCGCTCCCGCCGACGAAGCTTAACCCTCCCATGCCTACTCCAGGCGGCGCTGCGGTCGTCTTTGCCGAACGCCAGCGAAACCGCCTGCTCGCGATGGAAACATCGATGGCAACCGTCACTGAGGTCGATTCGCCGTTCCGCGTGAGCGTCAGTGCTATTGAGCCAAGCCTGCTCGAGGAGCGGTGGGACACGCTCGACGACGTGAGCGTTGACATGGACGGGATACCGAAGGCGCCAAGCTCACTGATCAGGGAGGAGGAGAAGGAAAATCTGCCAATCTAAACGAAGTGGGTCCGGAACCTGCTGACAGCTATTGTTATGCCTTCTATGTACGGTTTGCTCACAGCTTTGTATGTTGCATTTGGGTTTGTATACTATGTAATCTCACTCTTACTCCTTTCGCTGGCACTCCTAACGCGCAGACTTATCGTACTAACACCGCGGATCTATCGCCTGCCAAGGCCTGCACGACCGGCCCTCTTGCCACAGGATTTAAGCCAGTCGTTGCTATTTATGGCAGCTGTTCTTTCCAGCTATCGTTCGGGGACGTCTTTGGGCGTGTTCTCACACTTCTCTCTACCTGCACTCATTCCAGCCTATTGCACCTCCCAAGAGATCGACCGATAGACATCATGATATGGGTTCCCGCACCTCTGGCAGCGACGCTTAGTCTTTCGCCGCTGTGGAAGCTTCCGCTGCTTGTGCCGTGCACACACCTGGCTCGGCTAGCCAACACGCCGCCAAACCCACAATCAACAGCAGAAGAGAAGTTGAAGTATGAAGGGAGCGGCAGAGGTGACAACATGAGACCCGTCATGAAAGCCACATGCAAGCTGCTGGGCATCCGACAGGTACATCCATGCAACCCTGTTCCGTGCGAGACCTCAAACTGACATGAGCCTGTGAAGGCGATTTACTACACTGGTGCACTCTGCGAGACCGCAGTAATCGTCTCGCGCTACCTCCCTGCACACATCCGGGAGCCCATCGAGCGCCTCCTCGTGAGCAGCAGTGCACCGGACCCCGCGCGCGTCCGTATCACGCCCCTCTGGCTGACGGGCTGCCTGCTCACGGGCGGCGCGGGGTGTCTACGTCTATGGGCCTTCCGCACGCTCGGTAGACTCTTCACGTTCGAGATGTCAATCAAGAAGGACCACGTGCTCGTCACGTCGGGTCCCTACGCGATCGTGCGCCATCCAGCGTACACTAGTGCGGTCTTGCTCGGCGTCGGCGTCGTGACAACGTCGTTTGCTCTCGGGAACTGGTATGCAGAGTGCATCGGATGGGACTCGATTGCGAGCAGGGCGTTCGCGGCGCTCTGGGCAACGTGGTCACTGCTGGTACCAATGCTGCTGGTGACGAGGGTGAACAAAGAGGATGAAGTAATGAAGGCGTAATTTGGTGAAGAGTGGGAAGCGTGGGCGAGGAGGACACCATACAAGCTCGTGCCATACATCTATTGATATAAACCGTGTGAGAACAGACATGGCCCCAAAGAACTCACTGTAGAATGTACCCCGTTTTATGCTTTAATTGACTAGAAGCTCAGGGATGGAGCGAGATAAGTAGCTGCATGCAAGCCATCGTTCGGCTAAAGATCGCAGCCTTCACGCAGGCTTGAGTTCATATTCATTGGCGGCTCGGGTGTTCGTGCGAAGTGACATACCAAGGGCTGGAAATATATCCTGCATGGGGCTGAGGCTTCCCAAAAATGATTCGGCTCGAGACCCACATCGGGGGGATGAGACCGGGGTTAGCGTGGTGGCGCGAATGCTGAGAACTCACGAAGATATCTCTCGAGCGTGTTCTACAAGCGACTCGCCGGAGGAAAGTTCACTGCCACCGGCACGACGACGCCTGTTCCTTCGATGGCGTAAGAGAAAAGCCTGCTGCAGTAGCGACCCCATTTACCCAGAAGCCCCATGACTGCCTGCGGTAGGTGATCGTGCGACAGCCGAATGCCGGGGGAGCTCGTGCTGGGGACAGCAGCCGGCAGGACGCCACAAGGTGCATCGTTGTCTGCCTCATGCCCGAGCCGCCGTTGGGTCTTTTGATGGCTCGGGAACGGCTTGTGAGGCCGGGACGCTCGCGGCGCTCTTAGTTGTGTTGGCCGCCACGACGGTGGACCAGCAGAAGTCCACAGATGAATCGCGGCGCTGATAACCTGTGGTAGATCGGCAGAGGTAATTTCGCTGTTGGTTCTGTGAGTGCGTGTCTCGAGAGAGACACGAGACCGGAGATGGCCCACTTCGACGGCACCGGAGAAATAAACTCGTCTGTCCTCGTTCCCGGCGTTGCTCTCTTTTGTCGTCATGCCGTCGGACTGTGCAAATTCCTCAGGTTCGTCAGGGTTCGTCGGACATCCGCTAAAGGCTAGCTCCTTCCGCAGCGCCAGGAACAGTAAGGTCTCACACTAACTGTCTCATGACGGGCCTGGACTGCCTTGAGAAGTCGTGCGGGGACTGCATGTATTGGGCTGACGAATCACTGGCCAGGATTTCAGAAATTTTAGAGGCCGTACGCAGGTCTTGAAGGCGGCTGACGCGGCTTTTGCACCGCGAACCCGCTGGTAGAGACGAGACGAGACGACCAGTATGCGGTAGACCAGGCAAGCTTGGCATGAGAGGGCTTGGGGGCTCAGCAAAACCAAGAGTCGGAAATCAAGGGTGTGGTGAAGGAGATGCGCTTGGATATCTAGAATGTTGGCTCCGCGCTTGATCATGAGCAAGACCCTGGCTCCGCGTGATATTCATATAACGAGAGGCCTCTCCTTCCGCTCATGTCTTCCTCCCCGCTCTTCACCGTCTCGAGCGTACGTTCCTCCCGGGCAGGCAACGTTCATGCATTGCTTCCGACGCCCATAACTACCTTGCTCGAACTAGCTGACGACCCCCCTTGACGTCTTACAATCTCGGCGAACTTGATCGAAGTGCAGTCAATTGCTCTTGGCCTCCACTCGGCACAAGCCAGCCGCGGGCTCGTCTAGTCTCCACAATTCCTGATAACCCTCTTGTTCTTGTCTCATTCCTTCACGACGGCCGCGATACCCCTCACGATTAACGACCCTTCGCTCTTTCACGTCTTGTTGCCACGACTTTCTTCCTACTTGGCATAGTCGTCATGAGATTCGATCCGGTGCGTCACCTCTCATGCCGACCATCGACTGTTGTTCATTGGCCTTACTTCCCAGTTTCAAGTTTCCATCCCTCACATCATCTATGCTGCCGTCGGAGGATTTGTGGTGTTTGTGAGTCCCTGGTACTTTTGCCGTTGTGCTGCGAGCTCACGATATGCGATAAGTTCGGGATGTTCTCTCTATTCATCCGAGAGAAAGTGAGTTGGGCCATTGGGTGCTCTGGACTGCACTGACTCCGATCCAGCTGTACATCGGAGAAGCATGCTGGGCATTCTTATTCGGAGTGGTGATAGGTGGGTGTCGGAAGCTCAATCATTCCCGCTCCTGTGCTCAAGTCCACAGGGCCCTATGGCGCCAATATATTCGACCCTAGAAGCTGGGGAAATAGCGACCGCTCAACGACAAATACGATTACGCTTGAGTTCACGCGTGTCGTGCTGGCCATAGGTGTCTTTGCCATAGGGGTTGAGTTACCGAAGGCTTACATGCGTCGTCATTGGAAGAGTCTCTTCTTCCTCCTGGCTCCTATCATGACTTGGGTATGTTCCAGCCTTATTTTCAGCATACAACGTGTTTATCCCCATCACAAGGGGTGGTTCGTATCAGCAGGTCTTATATATGCCCTGATCCCGGGGCTCAATTTCCTGTCGTCGCTAGCGGTTGCCGCATGTCTCACCCCCACTGATCCTATTCTGGCGGCGGCCGTAGTCGGTGGAAAGTACGCCGACAAACACGTTCCCGCGCACCTCCGGCATTTACTCGCTGCGGAAAGTGGATGCAATGACGGTGCTGCCTACCCGTTCTTGTGGCTTGCGTTATACCTCATCCTCGACAAGTCAACTGGTCATGCAGTGTCCGACTGGTTCCTCCTTCTATGGCTTTGTGCGTCTTACATCGCTTTCTCACTCTTTCAGCGTGTTGACTGTATGTATCAGACCAGATCATCCTCGCCGTTGTGTTCGGTACGGTGTTGGGAGTGGCCTTCCGATACCTGATGAAATTCTGCGAGCGAAAAGACCTCATTGACAGGCAGTCATACGTCGCACAGTATGTCGCGCTGGCCTTACTCACCATCGGCAGCTGCACCCTTTTGGGTACCGACGATCTGCTCGCCGCTTTCTCATGTGGAGCCGCCTTCGCGTGGGATGGTTTCTTCAATAAGCAGACGGAAGAGTCTGTCTTCTCGTCAGTTATCGATCTTCTCTTCAACATTTCTGCATTTGTTTTCGTCGGGGCATGGACACCGTTCCACACATTCTCCGACATCAATCTGTCCCTCAGTGTCTGGAGGCTGGTCGTCATTGGCATCTTGGTTATCCTCTTACGACGGCTGCCTATCATGATCATCTTGTACAAATGGATCCCGGACGTCAAGACTTTCCGTGAGGCCATTTTCAGTGGCCATTTTGGCCCAATTGGGATCGGTAAGTAGGGGTCTTTACACACTTATTGAAGCTTACCCTGCGCAAGGTGCTATCTACATCTCGACTTTCGCTGCCGAACAACTCCCGGAGCCTAGTTACCCTCCACAAAGTCAAGAAGAGCTTCTCGCTTCAACGATTCAGCCAATCGTGGCCTTCATGGTGCTCTGCTCCATCCTCGTGCACGGCTTGTCGATCCCGTTCTTCTCCCTTGGTCGCCGAGTACACTCCGTCTCAAGAACATGGTCGAGACACGACACTTTCGGACGTTCACATGCACTCCCCGAATGGGCGAACATGACCAGGCATGTCGTCCGCGGACACGACATTGTCATTAACCGGGATAGCGACATGGAGCGTGGGGATGCCACGGTGCACGGAGATGAAACGCCTCCTACCGAGAAGGTCCCAGGGTCCGACAGTAGTCCGACGCAGACGACCAGAGAAGAACTAGCGTCTCAGCGAGAAGAAGGCGACTTCAGAGAAGAGAATCCGCCTGACGGACAAGAAGTTATTGCTGAATGGAAGGAAGGGCCACACAACATTGTGGAGAAGCGGGCGGGCCCTGGCGACGAGGTGCGTCTTTCATTTATACCTCGATAACGTAAGCTCACTCGGACATCTCATCAGGTTGAAGTTGAAGTGCAGCGGAATGTTTACGGCCCGGGCGAGACGACTATGCATTCTGTCAGAGTTGCACAAGACAAAGCTCACCACGCTGTGGAGGATATTCAAGTGAAGCTTTCGCAGACGTTTAACTCGGACAATGCACACGCCAACTTTGACGACACTCTGGAAAGTGTACGTCAACACCTACATGACGACGTGGAGCACGCGGAAGAGGCTATCCACAATGCGGGAGACAGGGTGAAGCATGCATTCGGTGCTTCGGGTGACGGGCCTACTGCCGAGGATGAGGATGAGGGATGGCAGTCGGACGGCGAAGGCGAGACTTCCACGCAAGGGGTTGAAGAAACTAGAAGATCTCGCTCTCCGAAGACGAAGACCCCTAAACAAGCTATCTTGCGACAACCTCCCAGCCAGGCTCGGCGACGCTCGATCCGTCGGGGAATGTTCGGTACGCGCGTGCTGGGCCGCCACTACGCTGACGATGCCGCACCGGTCCGAGAAGGAGGTGGAGTACTGAGCCCTGCGGACGAGACTGACGAAGAGGATCGAGGCCGCCGTTCGTCTGTCCCGCGTCATCGAGGTCCAAAATCCCTTATAGGGCCCGGTATCGGCCCTCGCCATGCGCGCATCGACTCACTACGTTCGATCGAGTCGCGCACACGGTTGTCGCGCGACGCGTCGCCTGCACGGTCGATCCGGTGGGCAGACGAAGACGGCGCGGCGACGCCAGGGAGCCGGGTTAGCGGGACGAACACGCCGTTGTCGCCGTTGTCGCCACTGCCCATCACCGATCCGGACAGTACCGAGAACGGTGACCCGGGTTCTGCGCTCAGTCCGACATACACCGTCCGGTTCAGCGTGCCGCCTGCGCCTGAGAGCAAGTCTTCGTGAGTAGCGAAGGCGAAAATGTGCTTCAGGCGGCCTGCATGTCTGAGGTGGCTGATGGGAGCCACTTCGGGGGGGGGGGGGGGGGTAAGTTGAGCGTTTTGGGACGAGACACCCTGGAGGTCGGGTATGCTTGACATGTGTAGATGCTGATTTTCGTATTCTTGGTTCTCAGCCTGACTTCTTTTTCTCCATTCTATGCCCGAGGCTCTTACTGCATACAGTTCATCGCTAGTCGAATACCTATCTCACACGCATCACAATCGCATTGTATACAATACTCCTGCAATACTGAAGTGTGTATATTACTTAATTTTACTCATTATCCTGACGCGACGATCTGGAGATCAACCAGCACCGGACACGCTTATCCGTACTGCCGTCTTCGTCGCTTGTGTCCACGAACGTATCTACAAATGGGTGAGCATGATGGAGTTTCGCACCACAATATTACTCGATGTGGTCCAGAATCTATGTTATAATGTACCGTAGACGAGTTGCCATGGAGTGTCGCTCATGGACAGGTCTGGATCGTCTGGAGATTGGAAAGGCTCTGGCTCTGCCAGAGCCGGCCGTGATATTCAAGGCTTAACGTGAGGGATTGCAGAGTCCATACTCCGTGCTCAACATATTCATACTTCCGAGACAGTTGTGCACCTAGCTGGACCGTCCAATGTGGCTCTCTGTTCCGCATCAACGTCGGGCAGCGGGCTGAGTGAGAGACAAAACGATACAATAATATATTTGTCACTTAAAATAGAGTGGTCAAAGCATGCCATGGAAAGAGATGCCAATGCAGCGAAACAAAGAATGAAGGCTATCAACGTAAACAGATAGAACTCGTGGAGAGACGGAGCCTGGGATGGCCGAGTACGTAGGTGATTATGGAAGATGAGGATCGACAGGTGCAAATTTTGAAAGCGAAAGCCCCCTACGACTCCATTTCGCACTCTCTGGACATCCGACCCTTTCTTCCTTCTGGTTCAAACAGCGTGTGCTCCGACGAGACACAGCGGCTAGGGATGTGCGTCGCGGACTAACCGCGCAAGGTAGCGTCCCCGAGACGATCCACATAAGTCTGCCCATCGCGGTATGCGCCACGAATAATTGGGTATAACCAGGTCTAACCGTAAGATTTGCCTATGCAGCAGTTATTAGCATAAGCTCCGTAGTCACAGTCAATGAGAACGTACCTGTTTACAGACTGATTGTGACCTTGGCGGAGCACGTTCACTTTGAAGTCGAACGAACAGGAGTGGGGGCGATAGCAGCACCACCGAAGCCGTACATTGAGCTCAAGGCACCGTACGCAGCCTCGAAATCCTTCTCTTGGCCACGAGTGCTCGTCTTAGCAGTGGTTGCCTTCTCGCTAGCCGACTTAGACTTGGTCGACTTGGAGGGCTTAGCCATCGTGGGCAGAGTTGGCGCGGCACCGCCGAAGCCATACAAGCTTTGGAGCGTGCCAGATGCAGTGAAATAGTCCTTCTCAGGACGCGACTGCTTCAAGAGCGAGGTGGTGGATGCGTTGCTCGGCGTCGATACGGTGGAGCTGAGCGTGGTGGTAGAAGCAGAAAAGTTAAACTTGTGACTGAAGAACGGCATCGTTGTGCTGGTGGTGGATGTGTAGTAGTGGTAGTAGTTGAGTTTGGGACGTTACTTGAGTGGGCGATCCGATAGTTGTGAGCTGGACCTTGGTGGTCGTCCACCCTAGTCTTTATATCGTTGCGCATCGCCTCCGAAACGCGAACCTTAACATGTAACATCGCGATGGTTAGCGGTGAGGCCGGTGAGGCGTGGCTGAACGGAGCCACGCAACAAGATCTGACTCGCGAGGCCAGCGCAAGGTTTGACTGCGCTCGGCGCGTAACTGCTGTAACCGCAGACTGCGGTGCTTTTGGGTTTGACGGTGCCGCTCGTCCGCGCGTCTATGGCCACATGCAAGCAATACAGAAGTCCGAGTGAGTCACGGCTGTCAGAAATGATTCCGACGGGGGTCGGTCGCATCACGACTGGTCGCCGGCGATCTGCTACAAGCGTAGGTTGGCCAACAAAGCATCTCGATGAGCTGGTGATATAAAGTTCGGGGCAGTGGTGCATACCCAGGCATCCCAGAAATCAAGATGTAGGGCTCGTGGCGGTGGGGTTGATCCCCCATTTAGCAGCGCAAGACCAGGCCGTCTTTGTCCCTATCAGCAGCCACAGACAGGTTTCTCCACGGTACACCCATCCGCCCCCGACGGGGGTCGGTCGTGCCAGATTCGATTCGAAAAACAAACCCCAAGCGTAGGATCCTGAGTCGGCACCTGAGATTGCGGTGGAAGGGAAAACCCATAGACATTGATCGGCATAGTCTACTGAGACTCCGCCACCTGTTAGCTCGGGAAGCGTTTGTTCCCCGCCAATAAATACCGAAAATATACACATATAATGATTCCACTTGATATAAAAATCTCATGTATAGGATACATGCATGAGCCCCAATGACTGCGTTGTTGCGCCGAAAAAAAAAAAACAGTATGTTTCGACAACGAAGGCTGGGCGCTTCCGACCTGTCTAGGGCTCTCCGCCAGGGTCGGATGCTCGAAATCGACGGCATCAGATTAGCCCCTGACGAACTTAGACCTGCACAGGTTTTGCGGAAGTCTTGGTGCGGAGGTTGGAGGTCCGATGCCGAGACACGGGCGGTACTGTAAGCGTTCAGGAAGTGGACCAGTCTAGTATACTCGTGAACCTGTACCCTTCCATGCAGCTAAAAGCAGGCATTTTATAGGCCCAGTTGATGAGCATCTGTGTTGTATTTATGCAAATTAAGCTCAAGTATTTTTACAATGAGCAGAAGGCGTAGTATGAATATTTTCTTACTTGCGGTGCAGGAAACCGGCTCGGTCAGGACCACCCAGTATGGGATTAGGCGCCTTACGAGGCGCCTTACTGCGCGCCGGACCACTCAAGGTGAGACTGGGCAGCAAACTCATAGCATACTTCGCAATTTATGATTGAGAGCCCTCAGGATAGGAAGAGTTGCAATATATAATATCTTGAGCACTCAAATATACAGCAGGCTGAGCAGCAACAGGATGTAGGGTGCACGACTAGAGTTAGGAGGCAGGAAGAGCACCAGCATCCAAATGCAAGATGGAGTCTAGCCGGCTCTCATTGCAGAAAGAGTATGAGGAGAGGCTGCAATGACTGCGGCCTCTGTTTGAACACTTTCTGGCTGGTAGAGCAGCACAGAGGGGAGGGGAGAGCCATCCAGTGTCTCAAATGGCAAGCACATACCAAGGGACAACATACTCGATGCATATCACCACCTCCACAACACCAGCTGCCTCTGAACCATCTCCCAAAGCAAGCAAAGCCTTTTATAGTCCTAATCTTGTCATTCTGAGGTGCACAGCAGACCATTAGATACTGCTAGATCACTTGTGCCATGGTATCTTCCCGAGAGCAGAAATAGGTGGCCATAGAAAGATAGCACAACTGACAATAGAGTTTAATTCCTGAAAATGTAAAAACATCAGGAATTGGAAGCCTTTGGTACAGAATAATGATACGCACAGTCTCATTGGACAGGTTCAAGATGTGTTGTAGGGATGCACTATCGTGCATCAAAATGGTTTGACACAGAATATGATACATACCAGATCAGTTTCTATGTGTCAGCTATTCTCACACATGGCAACAGTGTCTTGGAACATATGACGGCAAGCTGATACATCTGGGGACTACTAGAAACATGCAATAAACTTGTTATGTGTTTTATGTATAGGCCAAACATGTGTCAGATTTGTTGGGGCAGCTGTTACAGGTAGCAGGGCAAATCATTGGGGCAACTGTGTAATTTTAGGAGATTCCATGAAGCTGCAGGAATACAGAAGAATAGTGTAGAATAATATAGAATACTCTAGAATAGGCCAGAGCAGACCAAAGGATGGGGCTTCCAAAAGCTATATAAGGACCCTTAATCCACCCCCAAAATACAAGCAACTTTGAGGGCAAAAGTCTCATCTGTGTGTGCCCAGGTAGAAAGTGCAATCAGGCGCTTTCTTCAGTATAAGGTAGTAAGTGATGTGGACTTGCGTCGACACACCACGAGGGATACTGCGTGGATCTAATCAGAAGGCGGCGCCGACGAGGTCTGGCGACTAATGTGTTAGCTTGTTCAGCTAGCCCAATAAACCAAGTAGTATTTAGTGACTGTACTGCGATACAAACAAAGGCTTACCTAGCCCAATAAACCAAGAGGTTGAGATGGGGCTAGGTAGCGACAAAGGGACTCCTTATATACTAGTCAGGCTGCGCACGGACCAGGCGTTACATAAGCGACTGTGCTACGGCGTTTGCTAGTATCTGGGGGACTTTGGCAGAGAAGCGAGGGCCGGTGTGTCATAGCGTATGACGTTGCCGGGCCGACGGGGATAGGAAGTCCGTTGCCGATCGGACTCGGAGATAGACGGTGCCGGTGTGTCATGGCTTATGACGTTGTCGGGCCGACGGGGATCCAATGTCCGATGGAGATCGGAGTGCGGCTGTTACCGAGGAAGCATGATGCGGCGACGAGGCGGTGGCAATGTAGGCGCATCTGATGCGCTGATGCGTGCCCGTCGGTGATGCGTTCTCGAGGTGTTAGCGCGCGGCTATGGCTTGTAAACTGGCGCCTATGCACCGACGACGTTTGGAGGGTCGTATAATCGTGGAATAAATTGGAGAAAATGAAAATAAAATAGGAGGCCAGGGCTCCGCCCACGACATTACCCCCCCCTACAATCGAGACTCCTGGCGAGAGGATATGGCCTGTATTCTGCCTGTTTCCCACTCGAACTCTGCCGCTTTAGGATTAGTGGCAAGTGTAGAGCTGGGATCGATGTGTTCATAGATAGGCTTGAAGCAACTGTGGAGTTCGCTGAAGGAGGTGGTGGAGATCTGTCGTGGTGCCGAGGGATTTTGCTTATGGAAGTCGCGTATGCGTTCTTTAGCATGTACGTCTTTGGCGGGAATCCATTCGTCGGCACCTTGTCCGTATCCTTTCCATCTGATGAGGTACTGGAGCTGTCTGCGATAGACGCGTGAGTCCAGAATCTTTTCGACTTCATATTCTTCCTCGTTGTTGACTACCACTGGCGGAGGAGGTGTAGGTTTGTTCATTCTGTTGTCGTGATAAGGGCTTAGCCTGTCGACATGGAGGACGGGGTGAACCTTGAGCCAGTTGGGTAGTTCGAGGCGATAGTTAAGTTCTCCTATAACTTCGGTGATTGTAAATGGCCCTAGCTGTCGGGGTCCGAGTTTACGGGTTTGCTGGTGGATTGAGACATCCTTTGAAGATAACCAGACTTTGTCTCCGACTTTGAAAGAGTGAGGCGATCTTTTACGAGTTTCGTAGTCGGCCTTCATCTTTTCTTTAGTCTGACGGAGAGCTGCTTCTGCTTCTTTACAGATTTTGGCCATATTGTCTAGTCTGTCGTTTAGTGCGGGGATATTGGAATGTTTCCCTGCTGGGACAGTGAAGTCAGGCCTGTATCCGTAGAGTACTTCGAAGGGGGAATGTTCGTTTCCAGCGTGTACTCGCGAGTTGAGTACAAATTCTGCCATTGGGAGCCATTCATCCCAGTCGTCTTGACGTTGTGAACAGAATAACCGGAGGAATTTAGATACCTCGGCGTTCTTTCGTTCGACTTTGCCGTTTCCTTCTGGATGGTAGGCTGTAGTTAAACCCGACTCTATACCGAGTCGCTTATACAAACTTCGCATGAAGCGAGCTGCGTATTGTGGTCCGCGATCAGAGAAGATCTTGCGCGGGAGACCGTGGTGTCTAAACACTTCGCGAAAGTGTATTTCGGATGCTCCTTCCGCTGTGAGAGTAGTGCGGCAGGGCGCGAGATGTACTTGGTCACTGTAGTGGTCGACGTAGACGGTGACTGCGTCGTATTTCCCTGGGGATTTTGTTTGAGGAAGGGGGCCCACCATATCGACTCCAACGTGTTGCCAAGGCCCGTCAGGGACTTCTTGTGGTTTGAGAGTCGATTTAGGGTGTTTAGCTCCTTTGTACCTCTGACATTTATCACAGCCTGCCACGTATCGTGTTATGGCAGAGTTCATTCCTGGCCACCAGTAGTAGCGGGAGACTAGTTCGATTGTCCCGTGTTTTCCTGGGTGTCCAGCCGTAGGGGTATCGTGACAGGACTCGATGATTTTATTACGGAGGGTGACGTCGTTCGGTATGTAGAGCTTGCCCTTGTAATAGACGAGTCTGTCGTTTTCTTCCCATTCAGTTAATCCGTTGACTAGTTTGCGAGGCCCTTTTACTTGGAGGCTAGAGAGTGCGGTGGAGACCTCGTCGTCTAGTGAGGCTACAAGGCAAACTTCTTTCTCCAGCGGTGAGCTTGTGACGAAGGCTGTAGCAGCTAGTCGCGCGAAATGTGCTGGACCTAGTCCTGGACTTTGTGTAGCACTAACAAATCTGTTGTCAGGCAGGACCACTTGCATTTGGTTATCCATGTCGTCAGATATGTACTGAGAGCTGGGACGGGAGAGCGGGTCTGCGACGAGATGTGTTTTGCCTGGCTTATGAGTTAGCACGAAGTCGTAGTCGGCTAGTTCAAGAGCCCATCGAGCTTGTCGTCATGTAAGTCGTTGTGCTGTACGCC